TTATCGTGTAAGGATTATATTCATGTACTGCACACATTGTATCTGTCCAGTATATTAACATTGTTCTAGTTCTATTGTGTCCTGTTTCACAGCTTTTTCCCATTGTCGTTACTACTATACTGCTGTGTGATCTCCCTTTTTTGTATACTACGCACACTGCAATATGATAATAATAATTATTCTCTCTGTCTGTAAGGATCAAGCACATTAAAATGGAAAAAAACCATTTCCGATTTTCTATTTCTGCCCATAACAAAAGGCTTTTGCATTTGCATAGGACAGGGACGGGCAAACTTCAACTTTGAGAGGTTGTGATTTTGCCAGTTTTGGGATTCACCTGCTGTAGCCAGTCACAAAACGGCTCCTCCTAGGGAACAGAGCTCATCATAACGATCTGTTACTTATTTAAGGAGAGGAAGAGATTGGATTTATACCCCGCCCTTCACTACCCGAAGGAGTCTCAGAGCGGCTTACAATCTCCTTTCCCTTCCCATTCCCTGTGAGGTAGGTGGGGCTGAGAGAGCTCTTTTGAGAACTGCCCTTGAGAGGACAGCTCTGAGAGAACTTATGACTGACCCAAGGTCACACCAGCCGGGTGCAGTTTGGCACCCCTAAGGGCCAGCCCGCTCTAGGCGATTGCCTAGTTCACCTAGTGAGTGAGCCAGCCCTGCTCATGCTGTAAGGCAATTTTGCGTTACGGGTCTGCCATGGGATCTGCCTGAATGTCCTGTTCTTTATGGCATCCATCTTTTTAACTCAGCAAAAGATTGATGTGTTGGAAAGCTTGCTTCTCCGACCAGGAGTGCACTTCTACCAGCTGAGAGTGGAAGATAGCTACTGATTCCCCCATCACTGCAGGGTGGAATTCATTTCTGAACATCCTTGCTTCAACCCTTCAACAAATAATATACCCACTGTTCTAGGCCATCGCCCTGAAAAATATCTTAAGCCAGAGGTGTCAAACTCATTTGTTATGAGGGCTAGATCTGACATAAATGTCACTTTGTTGTGCTGGGCCATGTGTACCATAAAATGTAATGCCTTTAACTTCTCCACTCGCCATGGGTCCAGACAGTGGATCCAATCTTTCCTGTTGCACAGTTACAAAGCCTCTGCTTATTTCCGAGGCTGCCACATCTTTCCCCTCAGAATGGCATGCACAGTTGCCTCCCAATCCGTGCACTGCCCCCCCACAGTTGCCTCCCAATCCATGCACTGCCCCCCCCCCCGTTGGCACTCTATGCACCTGCTCTTGCCAACCCCCCTCATGGTTGCCATTTGAGAAAATGTGAAACTGCTTGTGGCAGTGGCAGTGCTGACCGTTCGGCTCTGCTCCCCATGTAGTGGCTTCACCAGTCCTCACTGAGCTCTGGTCGGAGGATGCAGGAGGGCAAAAAAACTGCACCTCCTTTCCCCCTACTTTTGCTGCCATTTTCCCCGCCCCGTAGGCATTTCCTTTTTGTTTCTTGACAGCTGCGACCACATGGACCTCACTGCAGGTGCCTTCTGTCCCCCCCCCCCATCCTGCCTTCTCTCCTTCGCACCAGTTGCCTGCGGGCTGGATAAGATCTAAGCTGTCTTTTGAACTGCATACTAATGGCTCATAGGCATAATTATATAATGTTATTCAATTGAGACAACAGAACATTAAATCCCACTATATGTGATTCACATTACATATGAGTTTGTGATAATTAGTATTTGCAAATATAGGAGAACAAAACATCCTGGTAGCTTAATACAAAAATACAGTTCAGTTTTTCATTCAAAATAGTTACAAAAGTTAGAAACATAATATAAAAAAGACAAATGGCTCCATGTATCTTGGTAGAAAAATTTGGTGTGCTATTGTGTTGTCTTAGTCGTGCAAAGATGTCACTGTGCTCTTCCTGCACAGGCAGGCAATTTCTTGTTGGGTCCTGTGTGGTGCTGGCTGATGAAATAATCTGCAAGAAACTTGCTCGCCTTTGTTATTTTTTTGAATTCTTGTTGCCTGAGTATCACCAGGGAATGCCACTTATCAATTTCTAGGTATGTCCTAAGCATTTAAAAATTAAGCTCTAGAATGAATATGGCTGTAGCAACAAGAGTAGAGACACTTGTTTCTTAGAGTACTGCAAAGAAAACTATTCTGTTTTCATGCAGTTCAAAGGATCTTAGTTGCTGGATGTTGTCCAGTCTAATCCTGTGAATCAATGACTGATTCATTATAATAGGGACATTGACAAAATTCCATGATATATATATGCTTCATTGTTATGAGAAGGATAGTGGTTTAAAGTAACAAATTTTATGGAAAATTGGGTTTAGGTGTTGTATGATACTTAGTTATAAAAGCAGGAAACCTGTAATTAAGACAGTAGGTTTTGAACTGCAGTTTTCTTATACATACTGAGTGAACACGTTGTAATCAGTACCATGAAGGTATGAAACCCAGTTATACAGTTCAGTTTCATAATGTCATTGATGGGGGAACCATTAGAGAGAGAATTTCTGGTAATTTTAAATTCATGGAAGAAAAATCTTTTCAGTTTGTTGGGGGGGAAATGGAAATTATGAAGAAAATTGAAATATACGCAATACTTACCAAGCCTAACATTATTTTTCTACTTTAACAACATAAAAGGAATAAAGTATGGTAGCCTATAAAATTGTACTATCACGTCACTATTAGCTCCTGGCTGCATCGAATTTTTCTGACCAAGTGAGAACGGTACAGAATTGAACCATTGCTATAGGAAAGTGTCTCTGACCATGGCAGCAAGCTGTAAAAAACCCGAGACCTCTGATTAATATATTTGTCTTTGGTCACAGACAATAATAATTTTTATATCTATCCTTTTAAAAATAATACAGATAATCACTCTCTGCTGTTGTGAAGTGTATTTTTAGCCCAAACCCAAATGTTGCAGCCCTCACTCGTGCCTCCAAAGAATGTTGTGCCAATGCCAATTCTACACACAGATTAAGACCTGCAACCACCTTTGGTGCTCCTTATCCTATGCAAAAGTTTATTTGTTCCCCAGCAGCCTCCGCCCAATCATCTTTTAACATACTTAAAGTTTAGAGTAACTTCCCGTAGTATATAAGTTTTTTCAGTCAGAATCAGTGTTTGAAAAATCAGTAGATTGCAATTCTGAATTTTATTTCTTTTTTTAAAAAAAATAATCTCCATGGACGTTGCCCTGAGCTGTATAGCCCAGGCTTGCCCGATTTCTTCATATCTCAGAAGCTAAGCAGGGTCAGCCCTGGCTGGCAATTGGATGGGAGACCTCCAAGGAATACCGGGGTCATCATGACACAGAAGCAGACAATGGCAAACCATTTCTGAACATATGTCTCTTGCCTTGAAAACCCAATGGGGTTGCCATAAGTCACCTGTGACTTGACAGTACTTTCTACCACCTTGGACTTCAGAGAACTGAAGGCTTAAGCTTTCATGTTAGTTCTTTGGTGTATACATTTCCAAATATATACCAGTTTCTTTCTCATGCTGCAGAAGCCAGAAAAATCTGAAGCAGGCAGGAACGTTGAGAACTGTTTTTAAAAGGGCTGGAACATGGGCTCAGGGCAAATGTATTGTAGTGTCAAAGTACAGCTGACCGTATTATTTGTTCTGACTACTAATTACATTCTCTGAAGGATGCACTATGGGTAGCAATTATTTTGAGCACAGACACATGGACATGGAGCCAGGTTGTCCTCAAGAGGTTCATGTCATTGAGGGGGGCAGTTGCATGCTCCTTGTTACGGATATGGTTAGAAATACAGGCGAACAATTGCTGGACTTGACCAAAAAGATCGTGGAGGATATTTCTGCACACCAAAAGCAGAAGTGGTCTAGCCTTTTAGCTGAACGTGCCAAAAGGTAGTCTGGAGACCCAGAATACAATAGTCTTGGAGAGAAGCAAGTTCATAGATTGTTCATATATTAGGAACCATCTGACCCATATCTGGGTGTGTTGAGGCCCAGGTGCAGAAGTGTCTAAAAATGGCCAGAACTTCACAGAAGCAAAGATATAGTTCAAAGATGGGGTGTACTGCTAGAGAACCAACTTGTAACCACAGTTTTAAAACAGACTTTGTTAAGATAAAAAGTAGCAAGAATGAACTGTTTTTATACATTTTAAGGAGATAATCAAGTATAGATAACTTTGTATGGTGTTTCAAGGAAATCAGCCAAGAACATGCCTTTATCAAGTGAGATAGCTAGCTGTCAGGAGTTGATTTAAGGAGCCTGTAAATATGAGACGCTGAATTGATTGAGATCTGCTTCTTAGAAGATGCTTCTTGCTTGTGACCTGCTTATCTTTAGATATTTTTTTGGACTCATGTAATTGTTTTTATCTATGTAGCAGTAATGGATGGTATGGCTGTCTGTTAGATTAGTTAAAATGTCTGAGATGCATATCGTTGTGTTGTAAAAAATGATAGAAGCAGAGACTCTCTAATAGTATCACTCATGTACCATACCCGTAACAAACCTAAAACATTGCTAAAGTGTACCTCTTGCCAGGGATTAAATGATCTGATATAGGTTAGGCATCTAGATACCTAGGGCTTCTTAAGGGCATGTCTGCATCTAAATCAGGCCTGACCAGAGTAATCCAGAACAACCTGGTCTTAGGAGCATGTAGATGCCTATTTTATTGATACTAATAGGGAGGCTTTTCAGAACATGCATTATGTGCACTATGGGATGGGGCTGTAGCTCAGTGGGAGAGTCTGTAGCTCAGTGGGAGAGTATCTGCTTGGCATGTAGAAGGTCCCAGGTTCAGTCCTCAGCATCTCCAGTTAAAAGGCTCAGGTAATAGCAGGTGATGTGAAATATCTCTGCCTAACACCCTGAAGAGCTGCTGCCAGTCTGAGTAGACAGTGCTGACCTTGATGGACGAATGGTCTGATTCAGCATAAGGCAGGTTCACGTGATCATGTGCACAGAAGTCAAGATTGTTCCTGTATGGTAAGCCTAAATGTAACCACAACTTTTATTTGTTTAGGTTTCAGTTTAGCATCCCCTTGTCTTCAGTACCAGCAGCAGCTTTGTTCCATAATCAATGTGACGTTTTGGAATGCCTCAGCAACCAACGAAATGATTCGGAGTAGTGGAAAACATTATTTCTACGTTGGTCTGATATTGGCTATGAGCTCGAGCCTTTTCATTGGTGGGAGTTTCATCCTGAAGAAGAAAGGACTCCTTCGACTGGCCAGAAAAGGCTCCATGAGAGCAGGTAAATATTTTGTTTGGCTTGAGTGACTGTTTTAATTTTTAAGGGAAGCCTGCTGAATTAGATCCTTGTGCAAAGGATCTGTTGTCCTTGGAAGAATAGGGCACTGCCACCTTCATGAAGGCTTCATCAGGTGCTGTGTTGCCAAAACGTTTCTCCCCTTGAGAGGGAGCAGTGGAGAAGTTAGTTTTGTGAAGTTTTGTGAAGCTTCAGGCACGGGTTGCAACAGGTCATAATGTTGGCAGCTAAGGACTAGCTCAAGAACTGCACAGTATGAGGGCTGCTGGTGTCTGCTGAGAATGTCTGATTTTTAGGTAAGCCTGCCTAAATTAATCCAAATCAGGAGAAGGATTCCGCAAAAGTTCCTCTGCCGGAAGCTCTGGAGAACACTGAAAAGGTGGCGCAGGCTCGGATTGCGAGGTAGTGAAGCCTGGTAGGCCGCTTTGTTTTCTGTCACTGATGCCTCACAGGGTGTTTGTCACCATCCTAGGGTAGTACTATGCCTGAGATAAGGCTGTCCACTGGTTGGAGGGGAGGTCCAACAGTGGGACCTTTGGCACCTTCATGCTGTAGGAGGGGAGAGAGTGCATCCTTTTAGCAACAAAGTACAGCCCAGTTGTCAAAACACCCTAGCTTCTCCCCTGTTGCCACAAACTGCCTCAAACACCCCATAAAAACTGGTGGATATTCATTAATGGGAAAGTTGTAGAAATTTTCAATTTATATTAAAATTGAGTTAATCCATTTTTAAATACTTATGAAAAGCATTTGCACCCCTCCCTCCCAAGAATTTACAGCAGTTATCAAAGGATCATAAACTACCAAGACAATTAAACTCGGACATATACAGTACTACACTGGTATTACACGAGGAGCCATGGCAGCCATTTCTAAGCTTAAGCTTGGTTTACTGGATAAGAGTTTGGTGCAGTGGCTAAAAGACTCTAATCTGGAGAACTGGGTTTGATTCCCCACTCCTCCATATGCAGCCAGCTGGGTGACCTTGGGGTTAGTCACAGTTCTCTCAGAGCCGTTCCCTGAAGAGCTGTTCTCTCAGAGCTTTCTCAGCCCCACCTACCTCACGGGGTGTCTGTTGTGGGGATTGTGAGCTGCTCTGAGATTTCAAGTGTAAGGTGGGGTATAAATCCAAGTGTTCTTGTTTTGGAAATATTCTGGGGTAATATTCTTGGGCCTTTGCAGCAGATTTATGGCCCAAGATGACCTTTCCTGCTGTAAGAGCCTCAGGGAAGCTGGGCCCTGAGTGTCCCCACTTCAGTTATTCCTCAAAATCTTGGTTATGCGAAGATTGGAAAATTCAAGTACCTTGGCACAGTAGAAGAAAGATGGCATGTGCTTCTCCACACATGCCTCAGGAGAGGGCCCAATAATGTGTGGAGAGGACTTGAGTGACCGAAGACATGCTTAACATATATCCATGAGCTCAAGTCAGTTCAGGATAATGGTATGTGTTTTAAGATGTACCCATTATGGTCATCATGAGATGGTGCCCAGTCAGGTACTTTAACTATAGTATTACAGTTGTCCACCAACATTTCTTCTTCTACTCTATAACATTAAACAAAAACTATATTAAAATTTTACAGCAAGCTTTGGATGTTTGAAAATGTGTGATTGCATAAATCTGTTGAGTTTTGTTGTAGTACTGAAATGTGAACTTTCTTGGCACGTTACTTTTTCTGCTTAAGCTTAGAAACTTGTGCCATGACTCCTTTTGTAATTTCTGTGTAGTACTGTATATATAGTGCTGCATATGTCTGAGTTTAATTGTCCTGGTACATTACGATCCTTTGTCAACTACTGTGAATTCTTGGGAGGGAGGGGTGCAGATGCTTTTCATAAGTATTTTAAAACTCCAATAGGTTAACTCAATTTTAATATGAATTGCAGACTTGAACATTTCTATAACTATCCCATTAATGAATATCTACCAGGTTTTTTTGGGTGTCTGTGGCAGTTTCCTACCAGCCCCGCTTGCGCAGCAGAGAAATTTGCAAAGCTACACTACAGCTTCTCTGTTACTGTAAAATCAGTAAATGTGAAATTGTTTAATTAAGTTTTTTTGGAGAACTTTTTTTTCATCACATCATGGCATATTTCATATCTGCGAAAGACTGTTTCCTCAGTGTCTGAGAGGGTGAAAGGATGGTCTTGGAGGAAGAGATGAGAAAGGCCATGCCGCCACTTTTCAGGAGTGATCTGTTCGATAGAATCCTAGATTGTAGTGTTACATTCTGTGACATTAGAAAGTGTTTTTCCAGCACCCGATGTTCCTTGGTCCAGTCAGATGCATGTGCAGTGCTATCATTACTACTCTTGAATCTTGGACTATAGAAACTGATAGCAGGATGAAATGGCTGTAATATTTAAAACACAGCTTTAAGAAGTGTTTCGCTTCAGTTTGAAAGAAAAAATTACAAAAGGTTTTTACACTTTTGCATGTGAATTTGATGTCTTCCATAGCTGTATGGAAAGGCACAGATAGTGTACATCTGACAACATTTAAGTTTTGAAATATACCCATTTGCCAGTGCAAGGAATACTCCAGACTCCGTGTGTGCGTATTAAAAACTCCGTCTTTCAGTGACTGTTTTGTCAGACTGCATAAGCTATCTTTCATGAACTAGACTGGGTAGTGGGCTGTATTTGTAATATCCAGCCTTCTGTTGCTTGGGTATCAAACAGTGCAAGTTTCTTTCAGTTAGTACCCATATTTCTCTTTTAAAAGTGAGCATAAGACTTGAGGGAATATTTACTGTAGTAATTTTCTTGTTTCTCCCCTTGAAAAATGCAGGTCAAGGTGGCCATGCGTACCTTAAAGAATGGCTGTGGTGGGCTGGACTGCTGTCTAGTAAGTATCTGTAGAGGCTAAAACTGGCTGTTGTTTCCCTCATAAACACAGTGGGTTGGATCCAATGAAGTGCCAGAGCAGAAGACTCTTGCGGGTGGCTAGTCTTTCCTGCAGCAGCCAGGAGCTTAAGACATTGATGCTGGAGGCTGCGGAACTCATGCGGACAGAGAGCCACATGGACTGGGGTGGGGGAGCCATAAGGAAAAGCTGGATGGAATAACCCCCCACCCTGCTCTTGCACCAGTGGAATTGTGGCAGAAGAGGGGTTTGTTTGTTTGTTTATTATATTTATAACCCGCCCTCCCCGTAAGTTGGTTTTATACTCCACTCTTCACTACCCAAAGGAGTCTCGGGAGTGGCTTACAAACTCCTTTCCCTTCCCCTCTCCACAACAGACACCCCGTGAGGTAGGTGGGGCTGAGGAAGTTCTGAGAGAAGAATATTGGTGCAGTTTTGCGTGGTTCCATCTCATCACTGCTTCCCCCCAAGCTGTGTGGTTTTGTCCATGACTCCTTGTGCGGCCTCCATCACCAGCTTTCCAGAGGTCTCAGGACTGCTGGGAAAGGGTAGAAAAGATCTACATCCGCAATTTAACCTTGTGGTCATCCTTTGTTGGATTGAAAATGGTCTAATCGAGAATTATCAATGGGAAGTGCATTATAAGTGCAACCATTGTGAAAAAAGAACAATCCCTACGCAAGGCCTAGGAATCAATGGCTTACATGCTGGAAAGGGTGAAAAGATTGAGCATTTGAAGCAGGGCAACAGCCTCTTAGGATTTCCCCCCTCATTTGGCTGTCTAAACTTTGGATTTCATTCCAACTGTTAAGAAAGAAGAGTGTTGATTGATTTCAGTTTATTTTTACTGTTAGCTTTTGCATCAGTATCTAGACAATAGTTATGTGAGAGACCTGAGAAAATGCTTCTTCCATATTGTTATCTGTTTTCTTTTTGCAATGGTTAATGTTACTGAAATTAGTGGAGACAGTTGAGCTGTGAGGAAGCTCAAACAGAGAGGCCTAGAGTGAGGAGATTAGATTTCTTTCTTAGTGAAAGCTATGATTATATATCTTCTGGTTTTATCTACAGGAACTCCTGGTTAGCTGATTTTCTTTTATTTGTGTATGACTTGCCTTTTTGCTTTTTAACTTGTAGTGGGAGCTGGAGAAGTTGCAAACTTTGCTGCCTATGCATTTGCACCAGCTACACTGGTGACTCCATTAGGAGCACTCAGTGTTCTTGTAAGGTAAGAAATGTGGTTGAACCTCAAGGACAGGCAGAACTGCTGTTAGGGAGAGCTACCTAGTTTATTTAAAAGCCACAGTAGTATCATGCATAAATGTTCTGCAGTAAATGAAACCAATAAAAGTCATATCTCTGTATATGCATGTTAAGGATTGTTTGTTCCAATTTTCTAAACATCGAAGTTTTCATTTTATTCAGTTGCCTGGTTTGAAGCTCTCCAGACATGTCAGTATGCTTTAGGTTTTTGTATTGAACTTTGTTATCTTCTCCTTTTGCACTTTTCACAGTTGAATATGAATGAGTTAGTGGGTGGGGGAATAAGAGTTTGTCACGGCTCAGGTGGGGTGTCACCTGACGCTGCCACCACTCTGGTTCCAGGCTTCTCTGAGAAGGCCCAGAGCACCCTCCCAAGCCTTTAGACCTCCCTTTTAGCCAAAATGAGCGTGAGGACCAGGCAGAGTGAATAATGAAAACGGTTTATTTTATAGGAGGTCAAACAAACAAGGTGCAGGAATAATAACAGTAAGTGGGTGAAAAGAAATCAAATGCCCTAGCGCGTCTAAATATACTGTCTCTAGCTCACTATCTCAAGTGGCCTTAGACTACTTACCCTTCCCTCAGGATGAGGGTTTCTTCCCCACAGCAGCCTTCCTTCTGGTCCTGTTCCCTGGGAAGAAGAACAGCTCTTCTCCTGTACCAGCTCTTTTGTTATAAGTCCCCTTTCCCTGTGATTGGCCAAAATTGGTGCCAAAACCTCTCAGGGGCTTCTGGGAGTTGTAGGCCTGGCCTTCTCCCACTGCTAGTCAGGCTTCCTGGGCCTGCTAGGCCTTGCTTGCACATGACAGAGGTAAAGCTGGTAAATTGTATTGGCCTTGTGGTTATTTATTTATTTATTTGATTTCTAGCCTGCCTAGAGATGTAAAATTTCCGGAAATTTTGAAGCTTGGGAAAAAACCCGGGTTTTCCCCCCAGTTTTTTCCAGAAAAAAATGGAAATTTTCGGAAAAATTGAAAAAAATGGTACATTAGCATTTCTTTTGTCTTTTCTAGATTGAAAGTCATTCTGTTACTTTAGGAACATAAAATATGACATTTTTACTTGGCATGAAATTATCACAACTAGCATATTAAAAATATAGTGTATCCAAACAATTATTACACCCACCCACATGCAAAAACAAAACTGAAACCTTTTTCTTTTCTTGTGACAACACCTCCTCCTAAAGGAAGAAATGCATCTTGTTCTTGCATTGGAGAGTTCAGTTTGTAACCTAGGACTTGCTTGTCCTTAGTGCACAGAAATTAGATCAATCTGATACCATATATATATATTTTAGAAATGATTTGGAAAATATTTGAACACCTTGTCTTAAAATATTTTATTCATCATGTTAAAATAAAACGTTCCATAATCAATTTCTTTTTTTTCCTTTTCTTTTTTCAATTTTTCCAATTTTTCAGAAAAAACAAAAAAGGCTTCAGGAAAAAAACGGGGGGGGGACGGTTTTCTCTGGGCCTTCACATCTCTAATCCTGCCCTCCCCTTAATGGCTAATTGTGACTTGTGGTAGCTTCCCTTTTGAAGAAATCTGTTTTGAAAATTTAAAAAAATATATCAGTAAATTTTAAAGTGTCTGCCCTAACCCAGGAGGTTGTTACAACTCTACTGTGAAAAATCTAACTTAGAATAGTGTGTGACTTGTAATGTATATTTATATGTTTCAGTGCCATTCTTTCATCATACTTTTTAAATGAGAAACTTAATCTACATGGAAAAATTGGATGTTTGCTAAGTATTACGGGTTCCACTGTGATGGTTATTCATGCACCCCAAGAAGAGGAAGTAGAAACGTTGAATGAAATATCCCACAAGCTAGGCGATCCAGGTGAGAATGTGAACATTTTATTGATTTATTAAAACATTCATATCCCACCTTTCCTTGTGGCTCAAAGCAAGCTTATATATCCCAATCAAAATATTAATATATAGGCATGGATTCCAGTTATTCAAAGAACTACCACCCCTGCCAGTGGCTTTTGCCCCTGCATAACTTGCTGAATGGCCTTGAAATACAGTCATGCTATGTATAAGTGCTGAAAGTAAAATATAAACCTATTCATTGTTAACTGATGTGAGGTTTTCATATTTTGTCTTGGATAGAGAAAGGAGTGTGGTTAATTTTCAAGAGGGTCTCAAAGTAGCATCAGTTTAGAAGTAGATCCCAGTTCAAAAAAGCTTGAGAACCACTGGTCAAAAGGAGAGGAAACATTTAACTGGCTGCAAGGATTGATTGAGTCTGTAGGGTATTTTTCTAAGAACCTTAGGCTGGAATAGGCAGACACTGATCCCCAAGGGATAGAGGTCTCCATTGTAAAAGTGACATGGGAGTACTCCCAGAGATTTATGGCTGAGCTTTTTGTACTATATTTCTTGATTGCACTATAGCGACATGTTCCCTTTAAGCTGAGTTAGCTAGCTCAGTTTTTTAGCCTCCAACTCACAGATTTTTGAGCGAACTAATTTATGCAGTAGCCAAATCACTTGCTCACAGCTTTAATGCCAGTAGCTCACAAAGTAGAATCTTTGCTCACAAGACGCCACAGCTTAGAGGGAGCACTGGCGACAGCAGTGGTAAAGTACTTGTGCATAATCTTGTTTTTAGTTTAAAGAGGTCAGCTGCTAATGTATATTATCCCTTTTAATGTTACAGGTTTTGTGGTCTTTGTAACTCTCATAGTCATTGTATCCTTGATACTAATCTTTGTGGTGGGACCACGGCATGGGCAAAGCAACGTTCTTGTGTACATAACAATCTGCTCAGTCATTGGAGCTTTGTCTGTTTCCTGTGTCAAAGGCTTGGGCATTGCGATAAAAGAACTTTTTGCTGGAAAACCTATGCTGAAACATCCTTTGGCCTGGATTCTGCTGCTAAGCCTTGTTGTCTGCGTTAGCACACAAATCAACTATTTAAATCGGGCCCTGGATATATTCAACACTTCTATTGTGACACCAATCTATTATGTATTCTTCACAACATCTGTTTTAACTTGTTCTGCTATTCTATTTAAGGAGTGGCAAAACATGGCTGCTGATGACATTATTGGCACGTTTAGTGGCTTTCTCACTATAATAGTGGGGATATTTTTATTGCATGCTTTTAAGGATGTCAACTTCACTCTAGCAAATTTGCCTGTCTCCCTGCATAAAAATGACAGAGGAACAAACGGCTCTTTGCCAGCCCCATACGAACACTTTAATCACGATGAAGAGATTGCAACTCATGTAGGTGATCTTCAGTCCATGGAAGGAATGTCCTCTAGGAGAAATGGAAACCTTACAGCTTAAGAAAAATTCTGTAACTGTGTTCCATTGTTAAAAGTCAATTTTAAGCGCTTGTCATAAAAATGTATTTAAATAGTATGTGTAGACAATCGTTCCTTTTTAGGTTTGGTTAGCTTGGACCAAGCAGAGTGGTGGATTTTTATTTTATTTTCATTAAAAAAAATTAAACCTCAAAACATGTTTTGAGTTCCATGTACATATTAAATTTTGGTTTAAGACTTCCTGGACTAATGACAATTTTAATTAATAAAATGCTTTATTTCTGCATTGGTGACTGACTGCCCCAAACAGGCATCTTTCCTCTCATCCCTAATTGTTTTCAGAACAGGGAGTAGTAAACTCTTTTTGAGTATGTCTTCAAATGCAAACAAGTGAGTGTGATTATGTGCACGTGTATATGATAGATGAGCCAGCTGTTTTGTTCCTCACAAATAAGGCACAGTTAAAATACTAAGGGTGGAAAGGTTTAATTTTAATAATTGGGAGCAGGGAAAGCTACTGACTTCTTGCCTTTCTGAACGGTGAGTTGGTGATCGCCTTTTTCGGTATCATCAGAGCTGGTATAGGAACCCACCCATTTTACAAAGGTTACCTGTGTGCATGACAAAAGACCACACTTGACAAAGGGGTTAAATGAGAGGAGCTTCTGAATTTCCTTTCAGTAGTTTTAATGATCCCATGAGAGCAGCCTCTATTAATGAGAAAGTTGTATTCCTTTTTCTATGGTATAGTCAGCCATTTTCAGTTAGTGCTTTGTCACTGTTATCTAATACTAAACTACCTGGGCCTTCTGTAGATAACAAACGCAGCAAAACTGGGCCCCTTCCCAAGAAATGGGATCTCTGCCTATTCAGATCCAGACTGCCTTGGTATGCAGAAAGAAAAATAAAACCTTTTAAAAAGTCCAGAGGACAAAGTGTTTCAAAAAGGACACAATGTTGACTCCTTAGCAGCAGCCTGGAGGGAGAGGTTTCCGAATTGTCTTGCTATCCCAGTCTTTCAGTGAACAAGTTGTTACCTGTACAAGATCAGTTATATGAAGGAGGTACATGAAGTGATCGAAGGATATATTAAGAAACAGCCCTGTGCGAGTATTAGTTTTACAACAAATTATCTGTAACCCACTGTAAGAATTTAAATATTGATGTGGGGTTTTTTTTTTGAAAGACTAGCCCTCTATCTAATCTTTACTGGCAACTTCAGTGAAGACAGTCTGAACAGTATGCACTATACCTTTTTGTCCACCCCACAAAAGTGATTTGTGCTGGATATAATTTTACCACCTAATCTGAGGAAAGCTCCTGGAGCTTCATGGGTTGAGGTGGCTGCACTGCCCGCTTGCTTTTTAGCCGGGGGGGGGGGGCCTGGGCTCCTGCAAATTCTGATTAAGATGACTTAGTAACAAACTGATAAAAATAGACTGTACAGAAGACAGGCTGTTAAGGAAGTGAATAACAGCTTGAGAGAATTTCTTGCAGACGGCTGCCCATCAGTTACTAGGCTCAATTTAAGGTATTCGCTGTCACATACAGAAGACCATGTCTTGGGACCCTCCCCTGCCACGAGAGCGTCACTCATTGGAGTAGGGTCTTCTGCGGGTGCCAACCTGCAAATGAGCAAAATCAAGAACATGTGCCTTTCCTGTTGCGCCCCCCCCCCCCCATCTTGAGGAGGTCAGGAAGGCTCTTACAAGCTTCCTGCAAACTATGCAATGCTGGATTAATTAAGAGGGCTTTTCTGCATTGTACTAAATGATTCACAGTTAGAAAAATTATTAGGGACTGTGTGTAGCTTGTTGAAACTACAATGCTACTGTGGAATTATGCATCATTGGATGTGTCATGTTGTTACTTATGCTTTGCTTCAGTTCTGTTTTTAAGTCTTCTGGTTGGTTCTACAACCCAAATCCTGTTGCATTATACTGAATGTCCCATCCATCGATTGTAGTGACCCACTCAGTGTAACCTACCTTAAGTCCGAGTGAGAAGGGCAGACTATAAATAATGTCAATAAATACTGACCATTCCAGCACTGACGACTGATGAAGACAAGCAACCACAATTGTCTTTTGCACGTTTTAATTTGAAATTTAGTTCCATAATTACACTGCTCAATGCTGATATCACAAAGATAAAATTATAAATATTTCCCAGACTTGGCATTAGAAAAGCAAGGTTCTGCAACGGTTACATGGAACCATTCTGAAGGAATGAACAAACAAAATCTGTAAAAGGCTTAATTCTGCTGCTTAAGAATATTTTGAACCAAAATGTCCTCTGCACAACCATTCTAGGAGTGATTTATGATACTGCTTTGTCTGTTGCCAGTGTAAGGACTCAAGGATTATCCCCATTTTATACTACGAACTAAAACAAAACAAGTCTTTGAATACTTGAACAGGTTCTACAAAATTTGGAAGTCTCTAATATGAATTATTGAAAAAACTACTAGTTGCTTCCATTTTATAGATTTTTTTTTTAAAAACCTCCTAACCTGATTATACGTGGATACTACAGACATTGTGGAAGTGTTCCCATAATTAAAGATACTTATGGAATTGGAAAAGAAGTTTTCCTAAAGGCTAACTGAGCAGCTTAATGCTTTTCTTACATAAGAAAATTACAATACACATCCCCTATAAAAGTTAATTTTACATTATTGCTAGTAGACAAGTAAAGTTAGACACAATAACACCAAATGGTTTGACAATAATTATAAACAGCTGGACAAATGCAAAAGGCTTAAAGACTTAAAAATGGGTGCACTGCAAAGCCTTTTATCAAAAGTATATAAAAGTAGTCTAAAAATCCACGTATTGTGTAGTTATCCCACTCAGAAATGAGACTAAACACCTCTTTCTTTCAGAAGGGCTCAGGCAAGTACAGTAACATTTGGGTCATTCTCCCTTAACCATCAAATCTAGCACGCCACTGTAGTGCTCCTGTACTGCTGCCAAAAATACAGGACCTTTCTAGTTGCTGGCCAAGGACTGGTGAATGGGAGGCTGGAAACAGCGAACATGTTCTACTGGTGTGCCTTCTCCATCTCCAGACTTCAGATATTTGTCCAATATGGTAATGATCTCATCATTCAAGATTTGGAATTTCCGGATTCTTTCAACCATTTTCTTCAAAGGCTGCCAATGACAACAAAGGGATGGTGAGAAAGAAAGCCAGGCTACACTGGGAAATCTCTCCACACGTATACTGGAAAGGGAGGGTGTTGTTTGGATCCTATAATAAACAGTACCATTGACAAAACAAGAAACTGCAACAGGCCTCGTTAACATACCACATTCTTTATGACCTCATCTTTGCCATCATGCTTCTGTACTTTCAGTAAATGGTAGCAGAAATCCAGTACGTCAAATCGACGCTGCTGCCCCAGAAGCACTATAATCATACAGCCGGCCCAGTGCAGGCCATCCCCAAAACACTGCCTGTGAAATAAAAATCACAGAAAACGCAACGTTTAATATGCCAAGTCAACATGAGACACTATATCCTAGAAGAGGGTAAGTGCTGAGAGCTTTTGAGGGAGGCCTTATGAAATTATTTTTATCCTACCTATTGACCATGGTTTCCAAGGGGGAGTTTACAGATATCAATTTAGATCAGATAATAAAATGTCCAAAACGATTCTTAAATCCAAACTCACCCCACAACAAATCAGCTAAAACGAAAACCCTGCATAACAAACTCAGCTGAAGGTCCTTCCAGTAGTCACTGATTATGCCTCTGAAGCAGAACCTTTGTCAATCATCACAGTGATCAACCAAGTACACATAACTCCAGGATAAGCAACTAGAAAGTTTTTTTGTTTTGCTACAGGGCCACTGGACACTGGGTAGGAAAACAGAAAGCCATTCTGTGTGCTTTGGCAATAAAAACACCTACTGAAAACATGAGAGAACTTTAAGCCAAGACTGTTTGAAAGAGACTGGTGTGAACTTCCTCAAAATTCCACAAAACAGGTTTACAAAATCATTCACGGTTCTACCAGAGTGATACAGGTTAGGACTGGATTTAAATAAACAGCAAACTTCCTTGAGAACTTTGCAGACTTCCTTTTGCTTCCCAGAAGCAACTGGTCCATTTCCCTCTGTCTGCCATGGAGAATAATAATTATCGTATGGCATTGTATGTAGTATAGCCAGGAGATCCAAATATTGTCTGGCAGCATCACGTTAGGTGGGGAACTATGCTTATTTTGGGGGCTGAGAGAGCTCTGAAAGAGCTGTGACTAACCCGAGGTCACCCAACTGGCTTCATGTAGAGGAGTCGGCATCGAACCCTGTTCTCCAGATTAGAGTATGTCGTTCTTAAACACTACACCATGCTGGCTCACCATGGGAGAAATCTGAATAGACAATGGGTGGTATCCTACCTGGAGCTGGAGAAAGGTCCTCGGACCAAAGGAGCCTTCTTCCTTCAATTTAAGTGACTCTTCTGTTGAAAGACAGGCCACTGTAGTTGGAGAAAGGCTCCTTAGGTAGGAGGAAGGCTCAGTGGAATAGTAAGACACAGGCCAATATGGTTATCTTGAAAATGTCCATATATCTAGCAATTCAAATATAAGTCAGGCAATGTTAGATTCAGAACCTTAGTGCATGCTTGGATACGTACTCCACTGTAAATTCATGTGTACCCACAGGAATACAGTACACAAACTGCATTGCGCTCCACAGGCGGTGAAATTCTACGCATTCATCCACATGCATCACACCATTGCTGGGGAGAGGGCCGCGCCAGATTGGGTCCTCGAGGAAGCTCCGAATCCTGGTTAAAATGACTTCAAACATGGATAGCCCACAGCAGAGACGCTCCTTGGTCAACAAATCTCCTTCTCTCGCTATGGCAATTTGCTATGGTTGGAACCAAAGGGAACACCATTGTAAGACAAACAATAACTTAGCAGGCAAATCGAAGTACGCTGACAGAAATGTCTTGCTTCCTTCACTCTGCTTCTGTGTCTGTATACTGAAGCCAATTAGGTCCACCCTACAAATAAATGGCAACAGACACTGAAAACCAGCAGCTTAGCAACCCTACTGAAAGCTATCTAAGCTCGCTCTCGGACACAGACCATGGAATCTGGAGAGAGGGCCATTTCCTTCTGGAAGCTAATATTTTAGCATAGTTCAGAGCAGAAGTGGCGGCTTAGTTTGCAACCAGCTCTGGGTTTTCTCTCTACTTCGTTCAGTGAATTATAAAAGAACAAATGGCTTTTGTTAAAGGTTATGAAGGACGTCAGCTGGTTCCGTGAAATTTGAACTGCGAGTCCCCTGGGTGAAAACCCTATGCGCTGGAAATTGTGTTCCTAAATGTCACCCTAGCACTGCCTTCTAGCATTTAACCAATTAGCTATGGGTATCAGAAATGTAATGAGCTGAGTTCAGCTCATTATATACCAGTGGGAGTGAGGATGTCAAGGGCTCTTGTGAAATTACTGTAGAATGATACACTTTTACTCTAAAACAAGCAAAGGCTGTACCTGAGGTGTTCCTAGTCTTTCAATAAGCGGAACAAGGTGGAGTGGAGCGTACTTTGATTCCAGTCTCTTCATTTTAGCATCAAGTCTCTCACCCTCTGGAGGGAGAAAAAACAATTCTTTCAAAAAGAAACTAGTGGCTTGTGTGCTGGTTTTTAAAAAAAATAAATACACAAGAGGTTCTTTTCTCCCCCTTTATCACTGTTTGTTTCTGAAGGCAAGACACGTGCAAGTGGGAGGTACTTATTTCACTCCTGAAATAAAGTGATTGTGCTCAAACATACTTTTGCTCTCACACAAATTTAAATCAATTCAGATAATCCTTATTACACATAAAATGCCAGAGTCAAGAGACAGAAATGTTAATGTATAAGCCAAATGCCATTCCCCTCCCCTCTCCCCACCAAAAAGTTTTGTTGAACAAAACTTGCGGAGGAGAAGACATTTTGGTAGATCAATAATTTGTGAAGAGACAATGTCCTGTGACCAGTGGGCAGACTCAACAGGCAGGGATCCCACTCAGGTTCTTCGCTGTCTATTAAGATTTCAGTAGCATGCACTTAAGGGGGGGGGGCAGTGTCATATAGTGGTCAGTGTCAGACTAGGGTCTGGGAGACCCGGGTTTCTAATTCCTACTCTGATATGGAAGCTTCCTGGATGACCTTGGGCCAGTCTCACACACTCAGCCTAAAGTACCTTGCAGGGTTGTTGTGAGGACAAAACGGAGGAAAGAAAAGAGTTGGGTTTTATCCCCCACTTTTCTCTACCTTAAGGAGTCTCAAAGCAGCTTACAATCTCCTTCCCCTTCCTCTCCTCACAACAGGCTCCTTGTGAGGTAGATGGGGCTGAGACAGTTCTGAAAGAGCAGTGGCTGGCCCAAGGTCATCCAGCAGGCTTCATGTGGAGTAGTGGGGAACCAAGCCCGGTTCTCCAGGCGTTTGCCTGAGGCAGCGGGTGCCCATATATGGCCTCCCTGAGGTTGCTGTCACCCACCCATTGATAATTGGCCATTACTTCATCTGTACCAACGGGCCAGAATCTTTTATAGCCAGCTGATTTTTATCTCAAGCTGTACCCACCGATTGTAATGTTTATACTGTGTTTTAAATTTTAATCGTATTTATTATAATATGTTACCTGCCCTGAGCCCGTTTGCGGGATGGGCAGGATATAAATACAAACAAACAATAAATAAATTAGAATCCACTGCTCTTAACCACTACACCACAAAGAACGATATAAGCTAAGTTCGGGTTCCCACTGAGGGAAAAGGGTAGGTTATAAATGGAGTAAATAAAAAAATAAATTTCATTTTTCCACAGCAGATACAAGAAAAGGTAACAATCTGCAACTGGCAAGGAGAGGCAAAGGAAGAGCAGTGAACCAACCAAATGAGGGAAACAAAAACCTTCAGGAGCAACACTAAGGGCTCATGTCACAAAGGTGCCAAGCATTTCCAGCATAGTGCTTACAACAGCAGGTTAACTACGGTAGTTGCAGTGGTTTCATTACAGAAACTTCACTTGCTCAGTCTTCAGGCTTCAAAGCAGATCCACAAGTTGCACAGGCAGCATACCAGCCACCTACTGTGTTGCCAGGTGTTCCATTTCTGCAGTGCCTGGCAAGCAACAGATCCAGGATGTTCACTGATTGGTGGACCACCAGCATGCATTAGAACCATCAAACGATGAGCCATACCTTTGACATGAACTCTTGGTAAAATGTTCTGGAATGGAGCCGCATGCAACAGATCGCACACTTCCTCTAGCGACTGCAACAAAGAGGACAAGATGTACTGAAAACATACAGCAGCATATGAGAACAGAAACCGTGATAAGGTATTAAGCACCTGTCAGTGTCCCAGGCTCTCTTTTAAACCGCAGTTTGGTAGCAGGAGGCTGTGCTGGACTGACAGACTGAGCGCTACAGCATTTAGTCACCCACCCAAAACAGGCTGCTTATTCTACAGGCAGAATTATTAAAACTGTGATCGTATTTATTGAAATTCCTAATGCAATTGACTAAATGCTCACGTGGCAGACAGCGAGATGTGACCCAAGCAGTGAGTCATGCTTTTATTTTTATCAGCATTATCTCCATAATTCATTATTGCCTCAAGGACAGCTCCACGAGGGAAGCAAGTCAAAGACACGGGGAAATAATGCTGGACCCTTAGCCATTTTAAAGCAGTCTTTGGAACAGGCTATTCTGACAGTAGCTTTTATGTTCCAACTGGAGAAAAGGTTCTGGCAAAAGAAAGGCAAAGTGACTTTGACAGGTTACAACAGGACTTAAATTTGAGTCAGGTAGTTTCCAATGCCCTTGCTCAGCAGAGGACCCATTTGTGTGTACTTGGTGGCTGTTTTCTTCACTTCTAAGTAACCACAGTTAGCGTCAACGTGATTGGTTAAGATATTCAAATCAAAAATACGTGGTTTACAGACAGGACTGATACTAAGAATTTCTAACTACTGTCTGCAATCTGTGAAAGAAACCCTCCCTCAACTCTTGACATGTCATGCTGCACCAGGTCGGATCCTAGCTTCTACAGGTGGAAAGAGTTTCCCTCTCCCCAGTGGCCCATGCCAGCCCTAAAAAAGCGATGACCATCATCACATCCTTGAGGGGAGGGGCAGATCTTGCCCAGTACCCCCCCTTCCTTACCGCAGCCCCTCATTGCACATGATAAATTGATCAGAAGGTCCCGTTCACCTTCAGCAGAGATCTCAGAGGCTGACAGGGAAAGGGGAAAAGAGAGAAGGAAATCTGCTTGTGCCATTTTCTTCTAAAATTTTACTCATAAATATTGCCCAGATTCTGACAGCACAGATATCAATGGCAGCCACTGAAAATATCTAGCTCCGCACAACCTCTCCATCTCCTCCCCACAAAAATGTTTGGTGTAACTGTTATACCTTTCACAACACTTCTTAAAGTGACTCAATATGCTTGATAATGATTTTAGGAAATAACTGGCCAAGTGCATGGTGGTTTTTTTAAAGAATATAAACTAATTTCATCCAGGAAGTCATACGGCTGACACATCATTTTTGAAACACTGCTATATTAAATTCTGATTTTAAAAGATGCCTGTTGACCCCAATAATATGATGCGGACTTCAATACAACTCCAGAGATGTGGGGTGGAACATCTTTTCTGTTACAGTGAAACTGAGGTGGCCCTAGTGACATCCATGAAAGCCAGACAAATTCGGTTGAAATAGGTAAGTGGAATACCATGGCCAGTTCTTTGGGCATACTAAAACTCAGTGTATCAATTGTTTCTAGGACCTTCTTTCCCCCCTTAAATGTAAACAAAGTGAGATAAGTACATGCCTAAGTCAAAATAAATATGCTAAATCAAATCACATTCTATTTAGGGCCTTAAAAAATTCGAAATTCAACTTCTTTCAGAGAACCTACATCACTACCCATCCTACAGTACTATTTTCACACTCCTACTACCCAACACATGAAATTACTCTAATAGGACATTATCAAAGGATCCTTCAGAACTTTACTGATTTCTTATAAAAAGCAAAAATGTCCTTTCCTTAAGCAGACACCAGAGGGCATTGAAAACATGTAATTTTCTCCATCAAATAAATAAATAAAAAGCTCATGCCTCTCTCATTTTGAGTCTGAATTCCTGTAATGACAAACTGCTAGAATACCACCTACCCAGCCCCTATTCTTCAAAAAGTTCTTTTCAGAGAAACAATTAAAAACAACTGTAGCGTTCAGGCCTCATATCTATACTTGAATTTGGACTGCCTCAAAATGATCAAGACCTACAAGGAGTACTTTCATTCAACTCATCACCTACCAGACTCTGCTCAATGAGGAGGCAGAAGAGAATAGCATTTCCCACTTCCCGCAGATTTTGGAAACACACCGTTTTCAGTTCTGCATACTCAACAATATCCTTCAACTGATGGTGAAAGAATTCCAGAATCCCTGAGAAACGTAGAGAATATGAGATATTATCGAAAGTAGAATAAAAACCAAAGCTATGCATTTTCATGCGTGAGGAAGCAACGTGATACACAAAGATGGATCTGAACCACCCAACCCAAATCATATCATATGTAGTAAGCAGATTTGTATTAACTTATATAATTTACAGTGCAATCCTAAGCCCCCCCCAAAAAATGCTCAGGGAGCCAAATTGACCATTGTGTTGGTATATGTCTGAGACACGCCAGCGTAAAGGCCAGTTACGATGGTGCAGGGCCCCAGTGCCACACCGTCACTCTCAGGCACTGGTGGAGAGCTGCAGTGGCTGCCTACTGGCATAACTGAGGCGTAGGCCCGTGCACCAGTGTGGTTGTGGGCGGTTTTGGGGGCATGGCCAGAGGCAGTTGGCTCCCTGAGCCCTTTCAGCCTGGGAACGCCCCTTGCCAGAAGCGGAAAGTTACACCAACAAAAGACATGTCATGGCCCAGAGGTGCCAACTGAACTGAAAACTCAAGTTGTCGCCACTTAGGCTCGGAAGAGGAAGAGCTCAGGATGCCAACTACAGGCTCGGCCAATCAATCACCCCCCTTAAACTTCACCCGAGGGATCTTACAACTCAGTAGTTAGGGTGTGTGGCATGGGGCTCTGTCTCAGAGCTCTCTGCCACACGGACTTAGAGCAAGCAGTGAGGCACTTTGGTGGTGGGAAAAGCACAGAGAGGGCACTTAGCACTACAGGGCAAGCACTTCCTGCTAACACCCAAGGAGGAGAGCGAAGTCCATACTCTGTGGCTGACCTCTCCCATTTCAGAACCCTAACAGGTACCCCACCTTTGGAGGCTCAACCCAAAGGTCAACCATGCACTGACATGCAAGCAAGGGCAAGGGTCCCAAACTTGCTCCCCCATTCCCCTTGCTTGAGGCTGGGTGCTGCTACAGCGCCTCCTGCACTCAAGCCCAGCACTGAGTCCATGCAGGAGCAGCACAAGCCATGCCTGCACAACACAATGGCCCCTGACATGCCATGTCCATCACAGTGCCACCACCTCCACACAATGCCTGAACTGACCACTGTGGCACGGTTACTATAGACACTACACAGGTTACAACTGGAAAACACTGCAAACCCACCATCTTTGTCTGCTGGCCGCTGCATAACTTACGCCCATAGGGAACAGACTTGTGCCGCCGTAGTTATGAAGCAGCCGGCTGCCACAGCACAGGTATAGCATAGGATTCCTCTGTTATTCTGTGTTCAAGACAGTACAGTGGATCCAACCAGCTTTTCTGCTACTGAAAATGCTATATTTACTCAAATGCAAGACTAGGTTTCTCCCAAGAATGCCCTTTTTTGGGGGGGGGGGTTCTCTACATTCACATACAAGTTACCATTATGTCCAATAATTATTAGTGTATAATTATTCTTTTTTGGGGGGGGTCATCTTACATTCCTTTTGAGTAAATACAGTAGGTGGAAGGGGTGTGTGTCTTTCTTAACCACTTAAGAAGGCCATGCATTGTGGATCATGGGACATGAATGGACTAAAGCCATGTGGGATGTGAGTTGCATTAAGAATGAGAACCTAGCAAGTTTAAGTCAACCCAATGTATCCAGCTATGTAGGGTTTTTCCAACCTAACTGAAATCATATTCATAGCATCAGATAGAGGTGGGCTAGTGACATAAGGAGTTTTCACTTTCCTCTACATTAAAACATGGTTTATTGAGCTGGTGAAGGAGTTTCACCAAAACAGCCCTTATACTAGAGTTAAAATCTAAGGAAATTAACATATAGCTGAAAGTATATCACAAAAGGTAGCTGAATCACAGAAGCTAGACTATGATCATTGGAACCTCAAAGTGGAGAGTCTTTGTTTAGACCATCCTGAATGACAAATAAAAGTAGAATTATATAAAAATATGTTTAACATCTCTGGATTCTGCAACAGATTCAAATGGATTAAGAGAAAGTTGGGATAAAAAGGGCAAAAGGTAGTTAGTGTGGATACCTGCTTCTACACAAAAATGGTGATGCCATTTCTTTCTTGCATCCAAGTTCTCTTCATAAAAAGGAGTTTGCTTCCACTTAACTGATCTGCCCTCCCCATTACTTTCTGCAGCTTTGCCTAAAAATGCCACCTCCTGTTTTTTGAGTGGGCTGACAGGTGAATACCTCACATTTTTAACAAAGGCTAATGAGGCAATTCATCAGCTCAACAAGAGAACCATGGGAGCTAACATTTAGTGCGCCTTTGACCTAAGTTCGGCCTTGGTAACAAGAGTCAAGAACTTGGTATGATGCAAAAAGCAACCCAATTTAAGTTAAAATGAGGTCTGATGAGGTTGAGTAATACTGGGAGGGAAGGAGAGAAGAATAAAAGATAAGAGCTGGGAACAAGCACTGTGATTCATTTGTGTTAACAAAAATTGCGGAGGTTGTGCTCAGGGTAAAGAACAAGTCTTTAAGTCACAGTCAAACAACAAGCGTTCATCAGAAATCATTCTTCTGAAGTGGCACTGGAAAGTAGCTCCTCTGCCGGGGTCGTTCGTGCTAAAAAGCTAAGCAACCAACCTACACAGCTATTCAATAGAATACATTTAAAACAACACCATTGTCCTGATCGTCCCAGAAGTCAAAGATAATCACTTCGTATCCAACATAATTTTGGGCTACTGCAGTAGAGAAAAAGCGTTGTTATCCGGCACTTATAGAGAATGGAGTTTGCCAGTTAATCGAATTGGCCAGACACTCAAGCTTCTTGCTTTGCCCTGCCCTCCGCCCAGAGGAATCTGCAGCAACCAAACACCAAGCCATTGGGAACACCATGGTAAAGCTCCCCACCTGGCCGGACCGTTCCGCTCTCCTCCCTCCCAAAGCCACAGAGACCTGTGGTGGCCTGGGTACCTCCCGGCAGAGCTGGCTCTTGACAGCTTGAGGCAGGCTGAGGGGGAAGGAGGCACCTGAGGATGTCGTCAGCTGGCAGTGTGAGCTGTCCAGAAGGCCAGCAATGGCTGGAAGCATCAAACCTTTTGGCCAGAGAGGTTGAGCGGGACACACTCGTGCATGGGTATAGTGGGGTGGGCAGAGGAGCTTGCCACCTGGGCAATGCCAGTTAACTAAGTGTTCTGGATAATCAAGGGCCAGATAACATAATGCCTACAGTACTTTGCTTTCCCCACTTTCTCTGAAGGCAAGCAATGAGAAGAAATGCTTATAAACATTCTTTACAAGTGGATCCTTGTGTGTAAAGTTAGCCCACAGGGGATGTGGAGGAGGATGGGTGCATGAAGTAAAGTGAAAATGAAAATATGAGTTGAGGACTCGAGAAGAAACAGTCAGGAGAAGGAAAATCCTCACACAAGATCAAGAGGCAGAAACAGCTATGAATGAGATGTCTGCAGGCAGGCATTCCGGAGTGCACAGGGGGGATGAGGAACTGCACAGGGGGGGTGAGGAACTGCAAGCCGTAGAAAGTGCAGGAAGACCACAAGGGACTGGTGGATGCAGGAGAGAGGTGGAAGGATGTTCTTCTTTGAACTTGGCAGTCTAATCATAGTCCTACATAGATATGATTTACTGCAGCACTGCCTGGACAATTCTGTACTCCATACATCTTAATTTACAACTCAACTCATGCCTACAAAATGGATTTGGAGGAAATCTGAAACTAAAAGTCCCAATGTGCAACAACAGCAATGTGAAAACAAAATTACTTACAATGGTATTTGCACAATTAAGCTGTTTATAAAGTAGTGCACTAAAGCCTAGAAACCATATAGTTTCTTAATGCTGTAATATCATCTAAAGGAAACTTACCTGGGGAACCGTACTCATGTCTGGGCAGCCTACAGATTTTTGGCATCACTTCCATTAAGGTCTTCACATATTGCAGAATTGTGCCTTGTAGCTGGGAGAAGAGATATTCGCAAGATGATTAGTGCTATTACTAGAGGTAACAGAAATCAGGCTGTGATTCACCAGCCACAGAAGCTGGTTGGTGTATCTACTCACACCATCTTAGAATTCCTTCACCTGAACTTTTTATTGCTCAGGCGAAGTGTTCATATACACAACAAATCTATCACGAGAGCCAGATTTTCACATGAAAGGAAGCATGGTTTATTTCTTGGACACAGGCACATCTGTGGCAAAAACGTTTTGTGAAGTAACCCTTGGTGCTATCAAGAGAAGCTTGAAAGGTGCGCAAACTAGCTGATTAAGGCTGCAATGCTATGCGCATTTACCGTCAACTAGATGCACTGAATATAATGAGACTTACTTCTGAGTAAGCATGCATAGATCAGGAAGCACAGTATTAATCTATTTGAACAGTTTTTATCCAGTTCTATATACCGTACTTTTTTAATTTTAGATTTTATTTAAGATTTATTAAATTGCAACACCATCAAAGAGATAGGAAAGGAACAAAAAATACCAGATAAGTACACTGTCAAGGGATTTACCCATTACATACTGGCCAACGGAGCATAAAAACAGGAATATCAACACTGAATTACCCTAATTCTACTTCTAACTATTCTGTTGCCAGTTCCAGCCTCTGTACAACTCCTGACCATAATGACTGCACTCTGGATATATCACTGCTTTTTGGGGGGATGGGGGGGGGGGACTGTTAATTCCACCAGAACTTGGATCTCTTTTACTTTCAACAGCCAATCTTGAATCTTGGGCGTATTTTTTGCTTTCGTCTCCTGGCAAAGATCAGTTTGACAACTGGTCTTGCAATAATATATAAGGCTACCATTTGAAGTTCTCTTGGGATGCTGAGAACATAATTCAATAGTAACGTTTATAGTTTGCAGGGAACCTGGCTGATATAGTCCTCACCACTTGCTTCCAATAACCGGAGGCACGCTTGCACGTCCACCAGTCATGGAAGATGTCAGCCTTATCTACTCCACAAAACCAGCACTTACTATTCACAGTATTATAGACCTTTGCAAATTTAAAGGAGTGAGGATGCTGCCTATAAATTATTTTCATCAAGTTTTCTGTAAAGGAAAGACAAACTATAAAGACAGTTCTGTATGTAAATACATATTTCCATTTTGTATTATCCAATATCCATTCTTTCATCAGCCTAATATTAATATGGCAGGAATAAGGAATCCCCGGGCCCCCATTTAACGTTTTATCATAGGCACTGCTCCATCAAATCCTAGGCATTTTTTTACATCAAACAGAAGCATTTAACACTTGCTGCCAATCTTTTAACACATTTTTAGAGATTTCAGCTAGTAAACTGCAAAAAAAAAAGTTTAACCTGGGAAGAATCATCATTTTCATCATGTTTACTTATCCTAAAAAGGATAGATTTAGGGTTTCCCAGAGCATAAACTTTACTTTTAGTTCAGTTATTATTAGCTCATAATTGATTTTATTAAGTCATTCAATGTTCTTAGTTGACCAAATACCTAAATTCTTGGCTTGATTTGTTCTCTTCATACCCCAAATCCAATTATTCTCTTTGCATTTACTGAAATCTGTGTTGAAACAGATTACCTCAGTTTTACCTACATTCAGTTTATACTCTGAGACCTTACCCTATTTACATAATAAGGGTCTAATTCTTTACCAGATTGCTATCTTTTCAACAGATATCAAAGAATGCCATAGGCATACACACCAATTTTGTAGTACGATTAACCCACTGAATTTTCGCCTCCCTCTCACCATAATTGTTTATGATTCCAGAGAGATCATGAAGACTAACGTCTCTTGTGATATCTATTTGCAGAGACAGGCACCCATTTATGCTGACTTTTGCAAAAGATTGTAGATAAATCAACTTGGCCCATCTTACAAAACTGACTCCAAAACTGAAAGCCACAAGAGATTCTACCAAAAATCTGTGTTCTGTTCTTTGATATACTATGATATATGATACAAATAGGAAAGCTGACTTAGCTTCTTCCTTATTGATCACCTCATTTAGTTAACAAGCTTTTGTATAAAGTTAGAGTCCAATGGCACCTTTAAGACCAACAAAGATTTATTCAAGGTGTGAGCTTTCAGTAATAGGCTGACTAGGTATGAAGACATGTGGTCATGATTATACCCTGCAGATAGTTTGCTAGTACAAATGTCAATATTTTTTAAGCTACAGTCTATAGGCTGATAGGACAGTATGAGCTCACTAAAGTAGGATCTTTCAAGGGCCCATGAGTCACAACAATTCTACTCTCTGCCCATGGTTTAGGGAGAAGTTTGGATTTAAAGAAATATCACTGATGTCTTGCACGGGTGGGGTATTATTTGCAAAAAGCTCTTGTACAACCCTGGTGTGAAACCATTGGGTCCAGGCACTTTATTTCATTTAATGTTCCGAATAGTCACTTGCTACCTCTTGCAAAGTTATCTTTTCTTCTTGAGAGAGTGTTGGTATCAAATGGTTAAATAAATTGGGGAACTTGACTTTTTTTAATGGAGATGTTTTTCCTTCAAATTTAATTACCTTTACAATGCAAAGTTTTCAATTTACTTTTGAAGAGCTCATTCTCCAGATAATGCTTGGGTTTATGTTTAGGATCAGCAATTACAAGGCTTACTTTTACAAACCATGCTTTACTTCATGTTTGAAGACTAGTTCAGGCAAATCTGACCGGTACCGCTGGATGTATAATGCTCTTTTCTATCCAGTTGTCAACCAGTTTGGTGTAGTGGTTAAGTGCATGGACTCTAATCTGGGAGCACCGGGTTTGATTCCCCACTCCTCCACTTGCACCTAGCTGGATGACCTTGGGCAAGCCGTAGTTCTGATAAGAGCTGTCCTTGAAAAAGAGCAGTTTCTGTCAAGAGCTCTCTCAGCCCCACCTACCTCACAGTGTGTCTGTTGTGGGGAGGGGGAAGGGAAAGGCGTTTGTAAGCCGCTCTGAGACTCCCTTGGGTAGTAAAGGGCGGGGTATAAATCCAATCTCTTCTTCTTCTTCATGACAACTTGAAAACAGAAGGGCGGGAGCCTCTTAACTGTTGCTTTGACAAGTCCACAAAATATGTAATCAATACATAGTGGGACCTGCATTCCCCCCAGCATATCACCAGCTATACTTGTCCACCCACCAGACTGGTATAGTGGTTAGCGTCTTGTACTAGGATATAGGAGACCCAGGTTCAAACCCCCACTTCGCCAGAGAAACTCGTTGGGTGATCTTGGGCCAGTTACGTAACTCCACCTAACCTACTTCACAGGCTTGCTGTGAAGATAAAATGGAGGAACGAAGAACGATGTCAGCTGCTTTGATTTTCCACTGAGGAGAAAGGTGGGGTATAAATGAAATAAATAAATAAATCTATATAGGAATATTCTGAGATATTCACCTTATGAAAGAAATTAAGGTGTCTCCACTCCCCCAAATCTTTTAGCTTTAATACAATCTGGTGATCAGTAGGGATAGATCTCCATACAACTGTCATAGTGCAGATTCAAGGTGGTGGCTGGCTATTAATTAGTAGGGCTAGATTATTTATTACATTTCAGCTAATGCATGTCCAGCATATGGTACAATGCATACTAAACTTCATTCAACTCACACACTCGTGTAGGTGGTCATGTAGGCCCTGGGCATGAGAATTTACAGAGGGCAGTCCTAGCTATGTTTTCCAAAAGCAGAAGATGCTTCTGCCAGAACAAAGGGTGTTCAGGGGGGGGGGGTGTTGCTCATTCCCCCTCCTGCTGCAGACCTTCACTACCCTTGAGCCATGATTGCAATGGGCACAGCAGGCAGGGAAGTTTGCTTCCATGACAACTGCTCCACTCATGCTAGACAACTACTTCACTCATGCCATGTTTTCCTGCTGTCCAAATATATGCTATGTGGTTGGCCTTAAGCGGATCATGTAAGCCAAGGAGTTTTACTTGGTGTGTTTCTTTGTATCAGAGTCACATATATTTCTGTCCCTCCTCTGACGCCTGTTCTTGTGTTAAAACAAGGATTTATTTTGTTCAAGCAGCACACATACATGTAAAAAGTGATATTAATGCTTGGGATAATCAAGAACTTACCATGCCTTTAAGACTAACAAACTTTACTGTAGCATAAGCTTTCAGGAAACACAGCTGTGTTTCCTGAAAGCTTATGCTACAATAAAGATTGTTAGTCTTAAAGGTGCTACTGGGCTTTTTTTACTATTTTGCAGCAACAGACTAACACAGCTAACTCCTGTGGATCTATTACCATACCTTAAGATTCATAGCTCTCCCCACAAAATAATTTGCCATGCAGAAACTTAAAGTTGTACTTCAGACACCTGTAGAGTTAGAGAAGTAGAACATATTCCCTCCAATTATAACTTCAGAAGTAAAGTGTGAGTCAACATACCAGACTCTTCACAACTTTCAGTAGTTCTTCCATTACTACAGCAATGCCCTGATATCCTAGGAGTCTGCAGATGACCTTGAAATGAGGTGGACCCACAAAGTTCCTGTAATTGCTATAAATGCTGGAGTATGCCAGATTCAAAGCCTAAAGGGAAACAAAAACAAGCCCAATGTATCTGATCAGCAGGTATTTCTTCCTACAATATGAGGTTCATAATGTTCTTTTAAAGGCCACAAAGTTACTTTTTCCTACTGTATAATGTTTCATGCAAAATGAACTTTGAATTGTTTAACTGGCACAAAAAAGCAGAATTACAAGTGCAAAACTGATGTCAATATGCTTTTAAAATGTAATGGTACGACACCCGCCCGCCCCGGGCAAAGAACAGAATACTGATAAAGCCAGCTTTAACAATACCCGAGGTATAACGGGCAATTTACTGATATATCGAACTTGTTGCTTGTAACTCATCAGGAAGGTATTTTGGCTTTTGAAACACAGAGAAGGAATCTCCATACAACTGTCACAGTGGTGGTGGCGGCTGGCTGGCTATTAATTAGAAGGGATAGATTATTTATTTATTACATTTCAGCTAATGCATGTCCAGCATACGGTACACTGCATTCAATTGACACACTGGTGTAGGTGGTCTAATTGCAAGTTGCTTCTCTCAACCGGAAATCTAGGCAAGATCCAACCAAATGGTTTTAACTTTACTGTTAATCAGTAGGACTACAAATTCTTAGTGGTGACTGCATCACACACCAGAATGGCAAACAAGCCAATATAGTGCCACCTTTCTTCCGAGGCACTAAAGCTCATTATTTCTGAAATCCAATTTCGTCTCCCTGTAACAGAGATGTCAACCAACCATAGAAACAGAGAAGTCACTGTAATGGAGACAATTTTTCTTTCCTTACTCTTCACACTTTGTAGACAGATCTTAAACACACTGTACTTGTAAACAAGTTCCAATAAATTCAGTGGAGCTTACTTTCTGACAAGCATGCTTCAGCGACAGCTGTAGAGAAATGCCCTGCGGTTCTGTTGCTAACCAGTAGAAAACAACTCCAGCACAAGGTGAAAAACCTACACCCTCCAAAATTGCCCTGGCAGCCCTGTATCTCTGTGATGTATCATCTAGTTATTTTATGAGAAACTGACACTCTTACCTTTTTGCTCTCTTGTGAACTAGAAACTACCTCAGCAGATGGCTAGTAGATTATCAGAATCCATATACAAGAGTATTCTGAATGAAATTAATAAATCCTGATACTAGTTAATGGTGGATTGAAATACAAAGTTGCCAATTAAGGCTCATTGGATTCTAGTACTGCAGTAAATACACAAACAACACGCAAAGGGATAATGAAGGAATACTAGCAAAGGCATCACAGTCGGTCACTAATGTTTTGGGTATATACTTGGTAGAAATAGCATTGATGCTAACACAACCACTTTTCTTCTTTTACCATTTCTAAAATAGCTTTGGAGTACAGGAAAATAATATCACAACACTGTTTTACGTGTGCCTCGTACAGATTCATACTGAAGATTTCCCCAATTTTTTCAGACAGCTGCAAAAAGGCATTCTGAAAATATAACTCTGGGGGACATGTAAGTATTTGAATTTTAACTGCATTTTTCCTTGTTATATTCTGCAATAACTTTGGTATGCGTCCCCTGGTAAAGTTCTATAAACAAGGGAGCAAGGTAGAAGGGGCAAGTCATAGGTCCTGTAAATAGAACATTGTGTACATAAAATTAAAAAAAAATAATCAGCCAACCCAGCGATGACTATTTTAGAAAGCATGGCTAATTTAGAATACAAGAATTTTTAGTGTACTTCACGAACCTTGTGAAGTTAAGCGCTGTAACACAGAAGTCTGTAACAAAAACACATGTAGACAGAAAATTAAAAGCAGCTGTCTGATAGAGGCAACCTCAAAGCAATCAAGGCAGAAAAGCTCTCTAAAGCTATGCTTCTCCCTCCCCAACCCAAGGAGTTTAGTAATGATGTCACTGAGCAAAGCAAGCCCAGGCACACAAAAGCAGAATCTAACCAGCACACTAGAGCAGTGTATTCTCTACCAGGAAGCAAGTAAGAGAAAGTGAAGGCTGGCTTTACCTATTCTCAGAAAACCTAGGCAACAGAGCACTTAAGACAAGATGTTCTCATGTAGATAACAAAGGGGCCTCATCACTGCAGAGGAGAACCTATAAGAGTCAAGCAATGAGAACTTGGTCCAAATGACCTACAGGAAGAAAAATCAGCAACTACAAATCATGCAGAAAACTACTGGAAACCTGACTGCTGTTTTTACCCAAATATTATCACATGAAAACCTCAGAATTTCTACATCAGGAACTGACAGTAAGTACGGACTTTTAAAAATTGATAATATATTACATAGTATTTCCCTTACAACATTGTTAGCACACTTTATCATATACTGTACATTTTAATGCGATATATGTATATGAGAGAAGGAGGGTGGAACAGATGCCCAAGAATGTTTGTTATCTGAAGGAAGGGAAAATGGATTGTAAGGGTATGGTGGGAAGAAGCAGCCCAACCCCTAAACCTTAAATCAGCACATTTCTTTCTCTTACCTAGTTCAAAGTAGGCTGCATTAAATAAAAGTAGGGTGCATTTAATCAAGTTAAATAAAAGGATAATCTAAATAGCAGTCACTCTTAAACAATCAGGAAAGTAACAGTAAACTGAAAGCAAAAACACAAGATAAAGTAATTTCAGTTTATGATGTATCCTTCCTGTAAAAATGCTTGTTGCTTCATCCAATGTGTTCAACCAAATGGTTAATTTCTGCTGGTTGAACTTTACCTTTCGCTTATAAAAACAGAAGCAAAGGTTGCCTCAGATTGGTGGGGGAGCTCACTATCTTCTCAAATATTGGATGTTCGATATAGGCAGATTCTTTCAGAAAATGCTAATTGCTTGCTTAAATATTCATAGTCCCTTTAAAGACCAAAATATGCAAACTACAGTGAAGTGAAATAGGTTCTTAGAGGATTTACATCCTTGTTTGTTCAGCTCTCCCAATATGATCTTGAAATTTCCAACAGTAAACCTGCAATAACATTAGTGTAATACTTCAACACTATTACAATTACCTAATCAGTAATGCATTCCAAATTCATTAGCAAAATGATTCTTTCAACATACCTGTCTGGTTTTTAAAAAGGGTACCAGAAGAGTAATTCTATGTGCAATTTAATATTTACTATGTTTCACATAAAAATGTCTCGTGCACTAAAAAAAAAATCAATTTAATGTTTTTAAATCAAAGATTATTTTCAAGTAGTTATGACTGGTTTGGGGTGAAATATTTTACCTTTACTGAAAGTACAGTTTATATACAACACTTGGGCACATTTATTCAGAAGCAGACTGCATTGAGATCACAGGGATTCACATACAAGTAATGTTTGATTGTATATTAAAATACTACAGCACTTTTTCTCACATGTATGGAAATATGCAGGTAGGACCATGTATGGAGAAAATCAGCCAGGGAAATTCTCTGTGAACTGGCCCTCAGAAGTTTGTATTTCTTGCTGTAACAGTAAAAAAAAAAAAGCTCCTCTGAAAACTGGATACCCCTTTCTCTGAAGGCTAAATTCTTTACAGTTCAGATGCAACTCAAATTTTTCAAAATCAAAGGGTGGTCAGTGACTTCCAAGGGAGCATAAACCACAGAGTAATATTTTAACAAGTTCCATATTATTTCTTGGATCTACTGGACAGAAATACACTTGTCTGCAGAATGGGATTGTCTCCCCCTACCCCCGCCCTTTTGCTCATCAGAGCAGGGTCTTCTATGGGTGCCAACCGCCAAAAGGGCAAAATCAACAACTGCCCGTATACGTGCCTCCTCCGTTGTGCCCCCCCCCTTAGGGAATGGCCTGCCTGAGGAAGGCAGGAAGGCTCCCACTCTCATGGTTTCCTACAAACAATGCAAAACTGAATTATTAAAAGAGGGCTTTTCTACACAGGCAACAGACTTGCACTGTACTAAATGATTCACAGAGTTACTTGGGGAAATTATTAGGGACTGTGGTCTATACTACTGTGTATAGCTTGCTGAAACTAGGATCCTACTATGGAATTTTGCACCATTTGTCATGTGAATAATTACGTTTTGCTTCAGTTCTGTTTTTAGACTTGGTTAGTTCTACGACCCCAGTTGTATAGCATTGTTTATTGAATGTCCCATCCGCCAACTGCACTGACTCACTCTGTGTAATCACCCTTGTGTCCCAGTAAGAAAGGAGGACTGCAAATAACATAAATAAAAACAAAAACGAATTGCCATAACCACTCATGCGATCCCCACCCCACCCTCGCTGGTCCTGGGGATACAAGCTGATTACTTTATGTTGATGGTACTAATATATAGACTTGTCAACTGGCAGAGGAAACTAGTTTATCTTGCAAGGGATTCTTAAGACTGATGCAAAAATGAATTAACTGTTGCACGGATAAATTAGATTCAGCAGTATTTGTACCTGTTGAAAGCTCTCATTTCATCAGAACATTTTCACTTTCCTGGCTTGGAGAAGAAGGGCCAAGAACGTAAAATGCTTGCACATCAAATGGTCTCCTTTTATTACAAATTGAAATGGTTTCATACTACAGTGTGCAAAAAGTCTTCTTAGAAATACAGGTTCCTATTTATCTTCATTGGGCATTAGCTTATTTTCTTAAATTCCAGAGCTTACAATCCCCTGAGATCTGCGTCTTGAAACTTCTTGGTCTCCTGAATCCTAAGAGCCATCGCTGCTCTCTGAAGAGAAATACTGAGAGAATAAGAAGGAACCTACAATGGGAGTAACAGTACAAAATGTAACAGGAAACACAGCCCTGGTAATCTGGCCCAAAATGGCAAGCTGTGCTGACAGCTTTTACAGCGTTATGTACAACCCCAACTGGGATAAAACACTGTCAGGGTACACCAGGAAACATTTTCAAAAAGAGGAGAGAGTGCCAGGCAGCCGCTCTTCATTTGTCATCGAGAACCTGATTCCATTAACAACTTACATTCTGTGTGTAACTTGCCAGTCAGCAAACCCATCCAGTGACCAGTGCCGAATTTTTAACACCCCCAAGCAAGATCCAGCATCCGCAAGCAACAAGAAGAAAGACCTAGCAGTGGGCATATGGCTAACCAGTTCTGCTCTGCTTCTCATCATTGCTGGTATCTTTATTTATGGCTGCTTGCATATATGGTGGCGCAAAAGAAGAGAGGCTTTAGAGGCACAAAGCATGCCTCTGGGAGAAAAGGAAGAGGCGTGGACAAAAAACGAATTGTACAGTTCGGCAGGGCTCAACCAGGAAGCCCAGCCTGGCCAACAAATGGAGATCAGAAATGCAGAGGGTGTCCAAATGGCCACTATAATTGCCAATCCTCTAGCAGCTAAGGAGCCCTCTATGCTGACTTCCAAAAGTGAGGATTTTGTGCCTTTATCTATATGTCAATCTGCTGCAAAATAGCGAACCTTGCTGGGGTGAGCCACTGTACATGTTTTACTGTATGCAAACAATATGTATACCTAAACCTACCTAATAGCTGTTTACAAATGCCCTTCTGTATCCAATAGTTTTCCTAAATCCTCACACAAAAGCTAATGCATCACAGCTATATATTATTTTACTAGAAGACTGAATAGTCTCCTGATCCAACAAAGCTAACTTAGACACATCCAAAGGCTAGCAAAAACTCTATATTTTGGGCTGGGGGGGTTGAACATCAACAATATTTGCTTTAGAATCCCCCCCCCCTTTGTGAAGGGCTGTGGTTCAAGAAACATGAATGCAAAACTCCCAGAACTACACAGAATTAGTTTTCTCTGTATCTCAGCTAGCATAAGCATAAACTGAAAACTATTACAAAAACCTCTGCTGGAGATTTTATATACACACATACACAAACGTCATATTAAATGGTGTCCATATGAGGACACAGAAACCAAACTTTATTATATTCCAAACATGGGGATTGGGGAAGGGGGACAACAAAGAGAAGGATTATTCAGTTTATGATATTCCTCATTGTCTAGTCTATCAAACAGAGTTTCTGCTTCTTAATGCCGATGTAATTAATGGTAACTTTTAACAAGGCGTGGTACTCTGGTTCAGGAGCTGCGAGTCAGACTGTGACGTTATACTTGTATTTTGTTAAATGGCTGTGTTATACTATGCATACTTCAAGTTAATATGCCCTCGTGCAGGAGAAACTTGCAACTGCTAAAGTGGTTGCTGTTGTCATTTCTAGCTGTTTCTCCTGAAATGCATTTACATTCATGTGTAGTTTCAAACTGCTAAATGTACCGACTCTCTTTAGTTTAGTCAGCAAAGTGTAAGTCATCTGTGACACAGTCCAGCTTTTAATAACAAAGTAGATTTACAAATGGATTATCTAGGAGACTGTAAATAGCATGTGCGCGCGCATGCACACACACACACTGATTTAATTCAGGCGCCACAAAGGGTAACTGGCAAATAAATACTGAGCTGTTGTCCCTTAGGGAAGCATTTAATCACTGAATACTTAAATAGGTACCGGGGGGGAGGCATCACTGGCTTCTAATCTGCTTTTAAAATGACACGATTGATATCATTTTGGCCATTCTTTGTTACAGGTCAGTGCTATCAAGCAAACATTTTCCTTAACTGCGTTTTCTTGTGACTCATGAGTAAAGTGTTTAACGAAATGTGAATGAACTACTAAAAACTGATGTCCCAATACTATTAATTAAACTGTTTTATAACAGAAGAAATGTTTCACCACAATTAGTCTCTGTTTAATCAAGACCTATTTCACATGCTTCATGGTGCAACTTCTCTTAAGCGTCACGCTAGATCTAAGGCGTTTCAGACACATAGCATTGTCTTCAAGTGGTAGCAACAATTTCACCAGAACGATCTTGGGCACAGATCATAGAGAGCCACTCAAAGTTCATCAGATAGCATCTCTTTTAGTTTCTGATCCCAAAGAAAAGGCTTTCCACCATAAATATGTCTGCAAACAACAGAACATTAAGACCTGGTTGCCAGATTGAAAAGTCTAGCCATATGGACCCAATTCAGATATCCAGTGAATCAAACTGTATGAAACAGCTTTCTATGAAAAAGCACAGAGCTCATCTCGTGTCCTTCAAGTCCAGGTTTAGATGCTCCCTACCACCAATACTATATCACGCTACTTAGTGGAGCCAGCACAATCAGTTCCACAAAGAATGCATAGTAGTAGCACATAGGTGGCAGCGTATCATAATCAAACTTGTAATTCTCATGGTAACCCTGTTTCCTAGGACACACCATACATATGCAGCAATATTCAGGGCCTCTGGCCCCACCATCATAGCCTTCAGGTTCATTCACAATTTCTGTCAAATAATCACAAACGAAGGGGCAGCAAGGACCCCCATTCAAAGCATAAAGCCTGCAGCTGTGTCTCAGTCTCCAGGGCAATATGGCCACTGCTGTGTGCTATGAACTGGGAGCCCTAATCTCACCCCTCTTAGGAGTCTGAATGAATTTTTTCTGGACATCTAGGAAGCCAAGTGAAGTAACAGGATTTACCTCTTGTTACTCGACTTTATTTCAGGAGAGGATCAGGGTTTATGAGCACTTCCCTTTTCCTGTCACAATGAAGAATGGTGTATTGTTCTAATCAGTACCAGAGATTTATTTTAGACAGCTTGATCTCTTAGCTCTCATGTATTTCTTCAAAATATTTAAACTTAGCTTTTCAAAAGATCTTTCACCTTGAACATATACTTACATATGCACATGTTATAAACCAAACTTAATCTTTATATTTCAGCTACTGCAACATGGGACTCCCAAGACATAGGCTATTAAACAGCTATTCATGCAATATATAATTCGCATAAATGCTATCAAATGCAGAATTGCATTTCCTGGGCATAAAAAGACAGCAGCATCTATGAATCATAAAACACTGAGAACGGCGGCTCGAATCCAAAAACTGCAAACAGAATACATCTTTGATACTTTCATCTTCTTGCTGCAGACTGTACCTGTCCTCACTCCCCAAACGAGCGACTGTTGGGAGAACCTTTGGAATAGTACTAGATAGAATGGGAGGGCAAAATCAGCAGAAGTTGTCCCACTCCCATGTGAGCAGAGGAAAACTGAGAGCGAGGAAGGAGCTATTTCCATGGATTTCACCCTTCCTAATGCAGCCGTCCCCTGCCTGATGCTCAGGAAGAGCTTTTCATGGAGTATAAGGACTGCAGCAAGAGAACAGAAAGGCAACAAAGATCCACTCTGTGTTCTCCTGTTCACTTGAGGTTCCCCAGATCCAAGCCACTGTCTGCTGTATTTCAGGAAAAAAGGATTAACAGCAAACAATACACAAGACAAGCAAGGAGCAACTACACCAGCTTCTGATGGTGGGGAGAGCAGGGAACAGTAATAATGACCAAAGCCAAGCATAATCATTTGGAGAAGCAGCACCAAGACTCTAGACAGATAACAGGATCACGCACTACTTCCACAATACAGGATGTGGCGACTCGTGAGCTATCAAGAGGCATTTTTCATATGTTTCAGTCAAAAGCAAAGCCGAAATATGGAAAGAAGGTCTAACCTTGGATCCATGTAGATACTGGGGCTGTGCATTAGGCTGCTTATCTCTCTGGAATTCCTGGGAAAAGGCCAATACTGTTCGAACAAACCTATAAAAATAAAGATAATCCAGCTATTTATATTTATGCAACTGCAGTTTGTTTATTTTCAAAAACTGCCTGCTTATTCATAATGTGGAGCTTCGGTCCCGAAATTATAAGAAATATGGAGAGGCATTTAAGGTCTTGCTCAAAAGGCACCACAGCATTAATATATTATAGTATAATTTAAAAATCTCCACAACAGAAAGAATGTTACATTAAGCATGCATCTCTCCAAGCTAACTAGATATCTATTATTTACTGATACCTGGACTTTTTCACAGAAGGAAAGATAATGTGGATTACAGACATGCATTGCACAATCCTATAAAAATTGTTTTATATTTTCTGTATATATTGATGTCAAAAAGCTCTTATAAAGAATGTACGTGAATTTGCTTATCATCACACTGTAGGCGGGGCAGCTCAAAACACTGACACACTGATAGCGGTGTTAGATTTTTGTGCTCCTATTCAACACTCATTTCCTCTGAGTTCTTATATCCGGAGAAAAGCAATGGCTGGCACACCAAGGATTCCTCTGCTTCTTCCCAACTCCTTCCACCATGTCAGAACCCAGTCCTGAGTTCTCCCAACTCCCAAATGGTGACAGCAAGCAGGCACACAAAACAGAACACCGGGTAAAGTTGCTTGGGAAGGGAGGGATTTGAAGAACTGAATCAGAAGTATGGGACAAAGGGTTAAACACAGACACACCTGTGTTCTAAGTTACACACTGCCAAAACTGCTGCTTTTTTGGGGGAAAGTAGGGATTCAGTTGTGTGCATTTGTATGTAACATGTTGCTTGCTCTCGACTGGTATATATGCTTTTATAACAATAGATGTTGTAACAAATCAATTTTAGAGCACTTTTCCAGTCCTTCGGCAAACTCATCCGTGTTCCCTTATTACTTTTAATTAATTTTTGATGTGGTATCTATAATGCATTCATACAGTTAGGAGAACTGAGTCTAAATAAATATTTTTCAAAATATATCTGTATTATCTTAAATTGGATCTATTCCCTTCTTCTACTCTCTAATGAACAACGTTATTTTGGTAAATCTACTTTGGTGCCCTGTTGCTAGACTGTAGGTTTTGGCATGCTTCAAGATAATCAGGTTTTGCTATTTAATCTCTGGATGATGAATGTCCTAGCAATTTATCCATCTGCACCAGCATAGCTCTAAGCAGTCAAAACAAAGTAGATTACACAAGTCGAAACCCTGTTATCAGTGCTTGGGGGGTGCCCAATTGATAAAACAGCCTTTGAAGTATTTATTTTATTTTCAAGTGTTCAGAGCATGATAAACAAGACAATTTAACTTTTAGATCTTCACTGGATGCTCATGATAGATGGCCTTGCTCTACAAGACTGCTGTAAGACTTACTCTGAAGAGCTCTGAATACTTGAAAGCACTTTGTGAATGATAAAAAATACTTGCTAGGCATTTCCGTGATGTAAGGAAAAGCAACAAAGTACACAAGATGAAAAACAAATGAAACAGAAAAATTAGTATTTTTATTTTTAAAATAATATAAGTGGGACCTGAAGGATTCATGGGGTAGGGAAAATCCCATCACCTCTTTTTCTGCCCTCCCATTGCATGTTATGTTCCTGGGGCCCCTCCCCTTGCCTAGACTTTCTTTTAAAAAAACACACACAATTAGTTTCAGGGATGTTTAACTCTCTCTCTAATGTCCGTGCGCACACACTTTGAAGTCTTTAGGTGTTACTGTAACCTTCTCCCATATGCGTGGGCAACTCCACTGTACCAATGTTTTTGACAAGGCCATCTTGGAAATTATGCCATCTGGTGGTAACACAGCAGATACAGGGCCACAGCTGAGAGAGGCAGCTTGCATAAAGCCAGTGAGTTCACTGTTGAAGAGAACCTCAATAACCAGTTCTCATGTTACCAAACATCTAGCACATTGTTGTCAAGCCCACAACCTGCTCTACTCCCTTGCAAATGCTCTCAGTCAATAATTCCTGTACTTGGTTGTCATTGCACAGAAAGCTGAGAACCAGCAGATGCAATCAGTTAAATGCCCACTGCTTCAACAGCAGACTGTTCTATTGTTTAATCTGGCTACATTATGAAAACCTCAACAGTTATAAACAGTGAGGAAGCTTAATGGGCATTTGGTGACCTCAACTTCTGACCTCAGTGCTGAAAGCTTTTTATGAATGCCCCATATCCTGTAACAATTTACACATCATGTTCACTTGCACAGAACACTCGAACAAAAAGGTGACAATTGTTAAAAATAACAGCATAGTATTTTTGCAGAGGCCAAACAAACACAGGATCATAGGAACACTTGGGTGTCCCAATAAAGGATGTATCTATAAAAGATCAAATGCACTTGTCCAATGAAGCAACAGAGAAGGATTTAAAAAAAAGATTTGCTTACATCTGCTAGATATTTAATTCTTTATCCAGGTGGCTGGGTACAGAGCTTGCATTCTCTATGAACATGATGTATAGAGAGGTGCCCAGTGACTCAGTGATTGATTACTAATAATTTTATAATGGAGGGGGGAAAAAAGGATTTAAGTACTTCCTTTGGACGAATGGTCGTTTTCTTTACGAACGAAAAAGATACAAATGGTAGTGTTTGATCAGGTCATCACCAGGAAGAGTAGGTTATTCCTAACACCCTTTCAGTACTCAGCTTTGGGAAGCTGAAAATCTTTTTTGTCTCTTTTTCCCTCTTGAAGCCGTCCATGCTTGTAGCCACCACTACCTCCTGTGGCAGTGAATTCCATGTGTTAATCACTCTTTGGGTGAAGAAGTACTTCCTTTTATCTGTTCTAACCCGACTGCTCAGCAATTTCATGGAGTGCCCACGAGTTCTTGTATTGTGAGAAAGGGAGAAAAGTACCTCTTTCTCTGCCTGCTCTATTCAATATGCAAAAGGCATTCTGTTAATCAGAGCTTCTGCCTGAAATGCTGAAGAGTTACTATTGGGTGGTGGTAGTGGTGGTGGAGGAGGAAGAGGAGATTGGATTTCTATCCCACCCTTCACTACCCAAAAGAGTCTCAGAATGGCTTACAATCTCCTTTCCCTTCCCCTCCCCTCACCCTATAAGGTAGGTGGGGCCAAGAGAGCTCTTTGAGAACTGCTCTTTAAGAGAACAGCTCTGAAATAACTTGTGAATGACCCAAGGTCACACCAGCAGCTGCATGTGGAGGGGGGGAATTAAACTCGGTTCTCACAGATTAGAGTCTGCGCTCCTAATCACTACCCCAACCTAACCCCCACCTCCTGCTGCAATGCCACAGAAACAGGGGTTCAGCTAGCCGCTTTGCTTAATATCCGCATCATACAAGTTCAATGCAGAAAATACAAGCTTCCTAATTATTAGAGAAAGAACGAGGATAACTGAAAGTCTGGAAGCAGCATTAACACTTTTCAACACCCACTCCAACTGAACCATACAGGCTATATATGCCAAAAATAACTTTAGCATACCATCACAGCCTTTATTTTAACTGCCTATCCTAGTTAGTCAAGAGTCTCTCTTTTTTTAATCCTTAAGTTTTATTTAAGTTTGAGTGCAAACAATTCAATATCAACAGCTAAGCAACATACAATGCAGAATTGTAACAAAATAACAAGGCAGATAAGATTACATAAGCTACAGAACAGTTGATAGTACAATTATGATGGATAATTGGAATTTTGGTTCAGTATAACCTATGGAAGGGGATTTATTATAAGGATGTGTCACTTGAGAGTTGCCTGAGAGTACTGTATACTGGCACGAACATGAACATGTTCATAGTCAACAGTCTCAACGCATTTGCACACCTTGCTCACACTACCTTATGCAGGCATGCGCACTGGAACAGCCATATGACAGTGTATGCTTCAACACAGCATCAAAATGGAACTCCATTAGATACACATAATGAGAACTATCAGAAGACTATAATGGCTTTAACATATATAAAATATAGAGAGAGGGACTAGCATTCTTCCAGCTGCACCAGGCTGGGCAACTGGTGCCCTTTCTATCTCACCCTGACCTAGCCACAGTAATCCATGCAACGGTCACCTCCTGGCTAGACTACTGTAACTCACTCTATGCAGGGCTACCCTTGAGACTGACCTAGAAATTACAACTGGTCCAGAATGCAGCGGCGCGGGTCCTTACTGGAACCCCACAGACAGCATACATTCAACCAGTGCTTCGCCAGCTGCACTGGCTCCAGGTTGAACACCGGATTAGGTTCAAGGTTTTGATTATTAACCTTCAAGGTCCTAAACGGTCTCGGACCAACATATCTATGGGACCACCTCTCCTGGTATACCCCCTGGAGAGCATTATGCTCTGGAGAGAAGAACCTACTGCTGGTCCCTGGCCCAAAAACATCCAGCTGTCCTCAACCAGAGCCAGAGCTTTTTCGGCCCTGGCCCTGACCTGGTGGACCTCTCTGCCCAATGACATCAGTGCCCTGCAGGCCTATGTTCTGCCAGGCCTATGGCTGAGGACAACAACGATCTCCATCTAGCCTGGCACTCCTCCCATTCCTTTCCTCTCCTCCCACAGAGTAAGATTACAATTTGGTTTATTTTCAGCAGCATCTGGAATTGTTTTGTATTTATTGTTTTAACTTGATCTGTAAATGTCAGTTGGAATTGCTGTTCACCACCCTGAGCACTGTGCACAGGGGTAGGCAGTCTATAAGTTGAATTTATAAATAAATAAATATAAATATAAGAATATGTAGAACCATCCAGCATTTACTCGAAGAAGCTGGGGAAGACAAGGCCTACTATTTTAAAATTTTTATTTATTTATTTACAGACGCACACTCCCCCCCAAAAAAACTCATGCCGACAATCCTTATTCATGAACTTATAACTGCTGGGTGATTTTCTTCTTTGGAAGTGCAATTATTATACACCCTTAGAGTAATCCCTTGTCCCAAAAGAGAACAGGATGCCCCTGGGTATACAGGGATCATGATTGCAGAAGCACCCTTCTGCAATTAATTTATTCAGATTTAAATGAACTGTAACTTATAACAAAAATTCTACAGTTTTGGAAAAACCTGCCAAAATATAGATAATTGGTAATACAGGTTAGTGGAAAGACATGCAAATTCTGTTTTTAAAAATGTAACCTGTTACTAACCTGTTAGTGGACCCGTTGTAGCAGTAATTTGGAAGGAAATCATAATTGAGCTCCCAGAAGACGTGAAGCGTGATTCTTCCATAGGGTGCTGACACATTATGGTTGGCTTCTCTGAACATGGCATCAAAACTGTCCAAAGTCATATACCTGCTTAGAAGTTTGTGTGTCATCCTGTTGATCTCTACCAACCCATCCAATTCCTGGGAAAAGGTTTTTAAGGAAGGAAAGGGGAGGAAAAGGGAAAGGGGAAAACACACCATAAGAATATTATGAAAGAAGATGCAAGGCTGCAAAAATCAGTAAGATACACAGAATAAAAAATGACCAGGGATCATCCATCTGCAAGGAAGGCCTTCTGGGGGAAAAACATGTACACATGTACTATGGGTAACTTCTATCCCACATTTCAGTTTCTGTTTTCAAAACAGCTATCCAAGCCAACAAAATATGACATACCTTTATTAACAAGGTGCAAAGGAAATTTTATAAAGAAACAATTTTTTCGTATTTAAACATATTCCTAATAGCAGTTAATAGGCAGCTTTGATTCTGGCAAACGAGATTTTATCCATGTGCTGCACCTACCTTAAGGGATCTGACTCACACACACAGTGGTACCAGATTCCATTAAGATGGACTGAAGGCAAACCAGTATTCCTTAACTGAATATTACATATACAAGAAGTGTTAATCCCATTCCCAGCTGTCCCTGGTTCTTCAATCCTAACACGGCATAAAAGTACTAAAACGTTAAAACAGAGATGAGATTATGTACTCCATGATTATTAAGCAGGTTGTCCCATCACTTTGTCAAATTGCCTTTGGCGTGCACTTCACATGACATAAGGCTGAACCAAAAGCAGAACCAAGGGGTTTCCATTTTTGTACTTTGCATAACTTAATCTGACAAATTACAGATTAATTTCTGAGCTGGCAAAGGTGAGAAAGGCAGGGGAGAGTGGTGTTGTAACATGTTACATACACTTCCACCCATTAATTTATTGTTACATGCGAAAGCTATGGTCTAAAAAAGTTTGAACCAGTTCCTGTCCCATTACAAATCGGGAGTCGAAGAAGAGTTGGTTTTTATACCCCACTTTTCACTACCCAGAGTAGTCTCAGAGTGCCTTACAATCACCTTTGCTTCCTCTCCGCACAACAGACACCTTGTGAGGTATGTGAGGCTGAGAGATCTCTGAGAGAACTGTGACAGACCTAAGGTCATCCAGCTGGCTTCATGTGGAGGAGTGGGGAATCAAAACCGGTTCTCCAGATTACAGTCCACTGCTCTTAACCACTACACCAAACTGGCTCTCCAGTTCTAGCTTCTCAATACTCACAACAATAGAGGTCAGATCTTCACTCTCAAAGCGACTGATTGCAAGTTCCAATGATTTGTACATGGCTGCTGTAATTCGTTGAGTGATCAGGCGGTTCAGATCTATTGACCGACCAAGAAGCTGCAGCAAAAGACATTTCAACATTTTAATCAATTTTGTATATATAACTTGGCATGAACCCTTCATCTGGACCACCACCCCCTCCATCCTCACTATCCTGTAGAGAGCTCAACTCTCTTTATCTGAATATTTTACAAGATCTTAAAAAACCTTTGTATAATCAGAGTGCGCACTTGTATGTATAAGGTCACATACATCGTGAACACGTAGAGCTAACAGGGTAACTTCTTAAACAAATTCATATGTAAAAGTGTATATGTTTTCAGAAGAGAGTCTGTTGGGAAGTATGAAGGATTCTTACTGTAGATAATCCTGCTATCAGAAATGTCTGATTAAGACAGCAGAACTCCCAATACATTCTGTAAATTTAATCAAACAAATGGAAGGACTGTTTCCAGCACTGTATCTGACCGATATACTTCCTGGAAAGTTCTGGGCACTTGAAGAGGTTTTAAATTATGTGTAATATGAAAACTCTGATTTTAAAAAGAAATGCTTTAGTTAGTGTACATGCTCATTCAGGAACTATATGAATTAGAAACTTAACTGAAACCAGAGATTAAATCAAATTACTTTTAAAAATATTTTTAAAACACCTTAATATGTTTAGTTAAGGATCTTTTCAAAAGTTTTTAGTTCAAATATATAGTCTGCTATTATACCACAGAATTTCTGTAGCCTAGGTGATAATTTGGCTATTATTGATTATAAACAGCAAGCCTGGATCACATGCATTTCATTTTAGTCATTATTAGATGGTTCTTTAAGCAACCAGCACAAAGCAACATACTAAGAGAACAGGGAATAAGGAACATGCAGTACAAAAATGGCTCTTACTAACCTGCACATGCCTCTGCTTTAGCAGTGTTTCGTATCGATTGGATGTTAACAAGGGAATCGTTGCTCCCTGATTCTTGCACTCAGATCTTAATCGTTTATCTAGAAGCAGGCTGTTGAAAAGAGAGAGCATTGACTATCACACACCGTTAAAAAAGTGATATATGATAAAAACCAATAACGTGAATGAATGAATATTTTAAAATATTCATGAGTACACTGACCTTCCTGCCATAACCTTGTAGTATCCAAATATTTGGTCTGCAAGCTTGTAGACAAACTGGTCAAAGCACAAGTTGACCTAAAGAAAGCAACATACGAGGGGCTCAGCAGTTAAAGCACTCAAACGCATTTTCTTTAACAAACACACAGGCTGGGCAAACTCTGTGGCCCAGCTTTAAACAGCATTTGGTTAGAACAAATTTTGTTCCAGTGACCTGGAGTTTAAGATATCTTTGGTGTTAAAATGTGTCATGTCTTACAAGTTACACTCAGGTTGTCAATCAATGAACCTGGCATGTGTGGGGCAGTGATAAGTTTCACTAACAGTTCATTCTCTTGAATCTTCATCCTGACCTAACAAACTTGAGTATATGTGCTGCTAATCAAGAGGACTCTCTCACCTCAGCCTCGATTTCATCATAAAGGAACTGCTTCTTGAACTTGGTAAGAGCATAATGAGCACTATCATTATAAAGGTCCAAAGAATACAAAACGTATCTAAACAAAGAGAAGAAGAAAACATGGTTGTGGTCAAAATCTGTCTTGATACACCATCACAACATCTTGGAAACTGACCTAAACCATTTGTCACACATTGGTACAAAGTGACCACGATCATCATAAAAGGATAAGACTTACCCACCTCCAAATTCTGACAACAGATAGTTATGCAAATCTGGTGCTGTGCCATATCCTAGAAAGGGAAGTGAGTTTCTTCTACTCAACCGGGCTCTCGATCTACCAAGTGCTACTAGTAAAAGGAAGGGGTGCTCCACTGTTCCCATAAAACAACCTGGCCACATTATATAAACCACAGAGCTATAGTGGCACAGCTTCAGTGGCACATAGACTGACCAGATCGGGCTCTTTTTGTAGCAGGAACTCCTTTGCATATTAGGCGACACATCCCTAATGTAGCCAATCCTCCAAGAGCTTACAGAGCTCTTCTTACAGGGGCTACTGTAAGCTCTTGGAGGATTGGCTACATTAGGGGTGTGTCGCCTAATATGCAAAGGAGTTCCTGCTACAAAAAGAGCCCTCGGTACCTAAGAATAGGTTAGTGGTCTGCATTATGAGACGCACTTAGACATCCTTCTGGTGTTTTATGCTCTTAAGCAATCAAAGCTCCCGAAGCCCTCTGGAACAAATCTGGAAGTTCCAAGATGGCACTGGACATGGAAATGTGCCAGAAAAGCTTCCAGTTCTCAAACTGGAAAAATGGAAGTTGAGTTGTAAAGCTGAAGTTTATCCAGAAGTAAGACAGCTGATAGAAGCCCTAAAAGGTCTTTGAGAACAAAGACCGGTGCATGCCCTGAAAATAAACCTCTGAGGGAAAATAAACCTCTCAGTATACATGTTTGCCTTCTTCACCATAAAATTATTCCCCAGAAACAGCCCAGTTGAAAACAAAAGAGTTTAAACATAAGAAGAGGTCACAAACTCTAGAAGCCCATCTCCCTCTGCACCTTCACTTCTTACTCTCCTCATCCTTTTACTTTAAAAGGAGTACCTTTCCTCCTTATTCCATTTTCCCAGACCATCACTTTAAACCTTTAATCTTGCTCTTACCAGAACATTTTACATCTAACAGAGGAATAGAACTTCAGAAATCTTACTCCATCATCGATGCTTCCTTGGTTTCCAAAATGTGGTCAGTCAGAATCCAGGGCATAGACATCTCAATGGGGAACTGGATTCTTCTCCCCATTGTCAATTCCAGGAAGAACTCCCTGAACCATAATTGTGATAAGTCACAGCACTGCTGCAGGGTTTCTAAATGCAGGAGAAGGGACACTGCATGAGTCTCCACAGAGAGACAGCCAGTGTAAAAAAGAATCACTGCTATTCTAATTGGAGAGATGTTATGAACGCAAATGAGGATGACCTAGGGTTAAAAGAGTACTGCATGAAAGGAAAACAGAAACCAATGATCCAATGGGAAGCCCGGGGTATTACTATAGCTACCATTAATAAAAAAGCACACACATAAATGGTTTACTACTGAAAACACTATCAGAATTGCCAGTTTAATGGTTTAGCAGCATACATACAGGTTACAGAACACTCTCCTAGCGTATGCTGAAAATAGCTGTGCTTTTAGCCTTCGGTATGGCAAGGGAAGAGATGGGAGCATTTTGAAACAACCATGCTCATCATTCCATCCAACCAACAAGACTGATTTGTCCCCTATGGTAGGCAGTGATTAGAAAGGCGTTGAATGAGAAATACAATTCTTGTAGAAAGGAAAGGCAAGCATGGCAAAATAAGCAAAAAAAATATAAACTGTTCTCAAGACACCATCTCATGTGCCAAGGATCTCGTCTTGCCTGTCCATAGGAGAAGTATTTTCAGTAGGCCAGACAGATCAGTGGTTCCCAAACCTTTTATTGAGAAATCTACCGAGAACATTTTTTCAGACCTCTTAGGATTCCTCATTTCAGCCTTGCCAATTATATGCAAACAAGATTCTAAAACATATAAACTAAAGAATGCTAAATGAGACAGATAAGTCGAAAAAATAGTAGCATCTGCAAAATTTTGTATGCTGCAGTTTTTCAGCAGGGCTGCATGCACAATAAGCCTTGCTTTGCCAGAGTCTCTCCTACAGCTGACCGAGATGAGCACAGGTCATCCTGCTGTATTAAGAGACCCATCCAGGCCCAGTCCAACTCTGCTGATGCAAGCACCATCACTGCCATACCTCTAGGATACTAGTGGACCCGAATTCACAGTTTGGGAAACACTGTGCTAAGGAACCAAAACAAGGACATTAGCTGTTAATGAAAAACAGTATGCAGCACAAAAAAGGAACTAGCGGGTGTTCTCCCGTTCAGAGAGAAGAGTTCCACTAACAGACGTTAGAAAGATAATACAAAACGGTGCTATAAGACTAGACATGCATGCTTCCGACTACAGCCAATGTGAGAGAATGGAAACCCAAGCATTTTACCCAACACAAGGTGTTTGATTTCTGTCCTACGTTTTCTTTTTAAATCTCAGCAGACATTTCTGCCTGTTTTTTAAACAGGACCAGAATTGGAGATTCTAGTAACTCTGAAATTTTAGAAAGAAAGGAGGGAAAGTTCCCCATGCCAACTGGAAAATATATGAAGCATTACATGCTTAGTTGCCAGTTGTATTTACAATCTTTCAGCATAAGAAGATAAGCAGAGCCCTGCTGGATCAGACCAAGGGTCTGTATAGCCCAGCATCTTGTTCCTGACAATAGCCAGCAAGATATCAGGCTGCTTCGGTCTAATAGGCTAACATTTCAAATCAAGTAAAATGCACAAGAATCGGAAACACTTTCCCAGGCCATGTTAGAGGTGTTAGGACATGCTGAAGCTAGACACTAATCATCTACAAATCTTACCACTGAAATTTATCAAATGAGTGTAGAAGAAAGACTCCCGATGGAATTTTTCTATGTCCAATATGGTGGGCCCCTCAAGGCTACTTCTCAAGGTTTTCTTGGAACCACTTTTGTCAGCAATGAGGGACTCTAACATAGTTCTCACCATGTACAGCTGCGTTATTAAACAGAACATTCATGACAAAGGGAAAAACACATGGCACATTAGTTGAACATCACTAAAACGTGCTGCCGAAGAAAGACTGCTCCACTACAAACTGAAACCAGGTAAGGAAGTTTGGAGGTCACAAATCTGAGGGAGAAAAGGACTAAATAAAAGCACCACAGTTTGAAGGGAGAACAGTTCATGTCAACCACTTTACTTAAAAATAATAAAGTAATGCCTTACCACCAAAATTTAAAAGAGGGGGATAGATGTAGGACTGCCTCAGATACTTGTTTATCACATGCAATAACTTTTCCATTCCCAGAGATCTGAGCTGCTTCAACAGCTCAACAGAGTTTAAGGACTCTGCCATAGAGCGAACCATGTAGAGCTAAAACCAACAGAGAAGGAAGAGGCAAGGGGGGAGAGACTCTGTTAATACAAAAAAACACAAGGGTAAATAAGAAAAGGAGAAGAACACAAAACCAAAGAAAATATCTATTAGTATGTTAAGAAAGAAGAAGCAAGACAGTGAAGACGAGTGAAAGAAATCGGATTCACATGTAACGGGCACAGGTTCTTTTATTTTGTCTGTTCATTTCGTTAAGGCTCAGGACGCTGCCTGTAAGAGGACAGCAGCATTCAGACACCACAACAAACTGCAATTCAACTCTGATTGCCCAAGAACACAGCTTGTTGCTGTGTCCGCATCACTTGCTCCTCCCACGTCCCTTTAGGCATGGGGCCTGATACAAAGCTTCTCAATCTGATCATGCTCCAATTCACTGTAGCATCCAAAAGCAGGCATTTCAGTGAACTGAATTTTGTTTACTGTACTCAAGCCAGGATTCTAAACTGGAACTCAATCAAGATTTAGCGGTACAGACTGATTGCAGTAAAACCTCAGTTCACTGAAGTGCCTGCATATGGACATCATGGTGAACCGGAGTTTGATCAAGCCAAGACGTTTGGCTTAAGCCTCCTCACAGAAGGGAGGAGTAAGGGGTGCACATGAGAACAGCAACCAGCTGTGTTTGTGCAAGACCAGAGTTCAATTGCTGCTTGCTGTGAGATCTCAATGCAGCCAATCTCATCTGACCTCTGCATAACCTCAGATCACAGGTCAAACCCCCCATAAAACTCCCATGAAAATTCCACAGGAGTTTGTTCTGACTTTTTTTTTTTTGGCAATGGCCTTAAAACATTTCACAAAGGTTTATACTTTCAGAACAGCAATACATTTTTGAGGAACTACCAAATCAGAGGTGCTACAACCTTAACTCAGAAAAACATAACTATATGAACCTTTGGCTCAGACTGGAATTGTTTCAAGAGTGCTATGTTCGAAAGGATCTCATCTCTCAAAATGAATAGGTTGTATGACCCAGAATAAAGGAAGAACCAAAGAAACAAAAAAACAAAAAGCAAACAAACCCCACTTGTAAAGAAAAGTGGGATAAAACCCAAGAGTCCAGAGTTAGGTCAGGTGCACTCACGGACTTATGTGCACTCAACAGGATTACATTACAGCAGCACATCTCCCCTGCCAAAAATCATGAACAACTTTTGAAACTTTGTATTTCAAAAGGGTAAATCTTGTTGTGGGTCATGTGAGTCTAAAGCTCAAGAACAAACACAAAGATAGATTCAGGCGGGTTGCCGTGTTGGTCTGAAGCAGCAGAACAGTTTGAGTCCAGGGGCAATTTGAAGACCAACGAAGTTTTATTCAAGGTGTGAGCTTTTGTGTGCAAGCACACTTCTTCAGATACAGTGAAACAGAATTTCCTCAACCACTGCATAAAGGAGGAGAGAAAGGGATAGAGTTTAGTTGCCAGGAAGGGCTAGTTAGAATCAAGATGCATAAGTAAATGGGCGATCATAGCTGATGCTCCCGCTAAGCTGTGGAGTCTTGTGAGCAAAAATTCTACTTTGTGAGCTACTGGCATTAAAGTTGTGAGCCAGCAATTTGGCTCCTGCATAAATTAGTTTGCTCTGGAGCCCATCCCTTCCTGAGCTAGGACAAAAATGGGTGAGCCAGAGGCTAAAAAACTGTGAGCTAGCTCACACTAACTCAGCTTAGAGGGAACACTGGCTGAGACTGGATTAAGATGGTTGGTAAAATCTGTGAATGGCCATAAATTAGCATACAAATTGCCAGGAAATACAAGAGTTAACAGATGTGAGAACAAAGTTTTAGTCCAGTGGCACCTTCAAGACCAACAAAATTCAATTCTTGGTATAAGCGAGATTCTCTAACTAGCTCTTCCTTGCAACTAACCCCCCCATATGAGGAAATTCTGTTTCACTGTATCTGATGAAGTGTGCTTGCACACAAAAGCTTATACCTTGAATAAAACTTTGTTGGTCTTAAAGTTGCCACTGGACTCAAACTTTGTTCAAATGTACTGAATTTATGGTACTAGTCACATAGTTGTTTTTTTTAGACTGTGGATTTCAAACTTGTTGCAGAGACTTCCAGAAACAATGGGGGGGGGGGGGGGGGGAATCAGAGGTTTTCTGCTAGAGGGGAGAACTGACAAAAACAGCACCCATCCTTAGTGGGATCAAAGCCCATAACTATACAGCTTCACATTCCTTTTCAACAAAATGAGTCTGTTTCCTTTATATATAGTTGAACAAGAGCAGGTGCCCAACTCTATCCCTTAAAATGGTAGGTGCGGACTTCAAGAGGTAGATCTGACATCTTATTATACTGAGAGCTTTGTTATTGGGCATTCAGGGAGAAAGGGGTTGCCAGTTAACCAAATGGGCCAAATGCTCACGCTTACTTGGTGTGCCCTGTCTCCTAACCAGATGATTCCATGACAATGCCATGGAAACAGTTGCCATGCCTGAGAGGACCCTCCCTCTAAGACACGGAGCCACCTTACACAGCAGGTAGGCAGCAGGGCCAGCTACCTGACAGCCCGACTGTCAACCACTCAAGGCACGCTGAGGGGAAAGGAGACACCCGAGGATGCTATCAGATGGAAGAGCCACCTGTCAGAAGCTTAGCAATGGCTGGAGACATCAAACTGGCTGGTTGGTGAGACAGGAGCAGGGCGCACCCATGCCCAAAGACACTGGGGTATCAGGTCTGAGGCAGAGGCTTGCCCTCAGGACGATGCCAGTTAACTGAGCATTATGGATAATCAAGTGCCATATAACAAAGCTTTTACTGTATACAGGATAGAAGTTCCTGTAAAAGAGCTTCACAAGTGAAAAGCAAAGAAAAGGATATAACAGAAAAGCCTATCACAACAAAAGTGCCACAAATGAATCAGAAATATAGGTAACTAAAACACTCTAAGAGACTGCTGGAACAGAGGCATTCCAGTGGAAGAAGCACATGTGAGAAAATAATCAGTGCAGAAAATTAAAGTGATGGTACTCCCTACAAGATTTTTGACTAATCCAGATTTACACAGGATTTGTAACACTAATCTTTTTAAATGGGTTCATTCTGCAATAATTCCTGTGTCAGTCAGTGACACACATACCAGAATAAGCATATAGAGAATTACCTGGGTACTGGAGGGCCCCACTGCTCGCCTTGGGACTTTGACATCAAAGCCACTTTTTGGATCTTTCTCTCCCCTCAATGCTGGATCATTAAATGGTTCACGCCCACCGTCCCAGTCACAAACGGTCTTTCTGATGGCCTGGAGAACACTAGCCATGATCCAAAATGTGTGTGTTAGTTTCTGAACTCTTCCTTCAGAGTCATTAGCCATGGTGAACACATATGCTCTCCAAATGCGTTCCAACAAAGCTTAAAGAAATCACACTGGGAATGCACTTAGTTTTCAATCAACGTATTAGGTAATCCAAACAGTTCAGACATCCAAAACTTCTAAGCCTAGGAGCTTCTAATTTTATTTCATTAGAAAACAGCAGTTTATGCTAACAACAACTCTGACCAATACTGATTCTAGCTTTGAGAATACACACTTCTCTGAGTATATATTACAATGCAACAAAACCTACAAAATTTCAGTTTTGTGAGGGGAATTCCCAATATCATTGCTAAGCATGCAAGCCACATAGCAAAACACCAAAACCCTCTGGTGAGTTAATGCAAAGTACCAGCTCCTTTCTTTTTCTCACTGTTTCTGTAATGTAGAGTCCTAGAAAATTCCAAGCACAGCTTGGATCCAGTAAACTGCATGGCCCAGTACCCATCTAACTCCAGTTTGCAGTCCAAGCAGTCACAATAGCTCTTTATGAGGAATAACTGAAATAAACTAGAAGCTGAAAGTGGAAACATCAGCTTGACCAGCCTTGCACCACTGGTTGGCCATATTGTATACTGAATCCATACATATCTCAGATTTGCCCAAACTCTACGGCCTGTGCCGGCTGTGGAGAATGTAGCTGCATCAGTGCAGCATTACTTCTGAATTCCATGCAAAAATTACTTCCTGGGTTCATTTCGGGGAAGCCATGATGGTTATGCTGGACTACAAGAAGTATGCATCAAAAATGACCTTGTGGCCTCTGTAACCATTTCCTGTAAGTCTGAAAGGGAAAAACAAAAACACTGAATGGCATGAGAAAATGTTAGCTACCACCTTTGGATAACATTCTTCTTCTTTTTGATAGCTTGTCTTAATGGTTCTCTAAGTGTAATTTGAGCGAAGTCCTGGAGAGCAGCATAGATAGTATGACGAATAGCATGATTGAAGACACTTTCCATCCTGCCCATCAACACCTGGAGACCTTTGATCATTGCAATAACCTGTGTGCGTAAAGGGAATTATTTTGTATAATAAAACTAACACAAATAATGCGGGGGGGGGGAGAGCAGAAGGAAGGTAAGGGAACCTGAGCTTTTGCAGAATATATATTCTTCCTCTTACCTCAACAAGAGCAAACTTTTCTTCAGTGGTGTAATTGTATCTTGTTGCTCTTTCATACTCTTCTGCATTGTCTGGACAATCTTTGTTAGAGTATTTGTCAGTTGGATGTACTAGTTTCCATGAATACTGCAAATGACAGAAGCAGTACAATGGCAGCATTGAACTAACAGAATCATACTGGAAAAAATTAGCAAGACTTCCCATACATCGTAAAGTTTGATTGTTTCTCCTCTTTTGTGTCTCTGGGATGACAACTGTGAGTGCTATCTTAGTCCAGAAACTACTATGGAAATTGCTGTTCTCTTCAACTCTACTTCCCAAAAGTGAGACTTTGTCAAATCATCACAAGGGTGATTTGAGGGGGTCCCACAGCTACCACATGGAAGGTTCCAGAAATGTTTCCACATTGCAGTTTTAACTTTCAAGGTCCATTCACTATGCACATTGCACTATCACAGTGAACCTGTGGTACTGAAAGGATCCCTCCCACGATTCCTCTGTTTAGGGCTATTGCACATGATGCCATGGGGATGGAGCTTCTGGCACACAGAACAATCTCCATGACATAAGCAGGCCCATAACCACGGGGGGTGGGGGGTGGCATTTAAGGCGACGTCCCCTACTGAATTTGCCCCTCCCCCTCCTGGCTGCCTCCCCTGACGGTCCTGGGAGGGGGAGGAAGCCTGGGGCAAGCGGACTGCTGCCCTCCTCCCCCGCCACCCTTGCAGGGGGCAGCACCAGAGCAGGGCTGGAGGGGAAGCCGGGGGCCAGTGGCATGCTGCCTTCCTCCTCCGCTGCCCTCATAGCAGCCAGCGCCAGAGGAGGGCCAAGAGGGGGAGGAAGCCTGGACCACACGGCCTTTCTCTTCCCCCCATGGCCTGGCTGGCTGAACTTTAGGGAGTTTTTAAAGTCTCCTAAAGGTGGTCACGGAGAAAACATTTGTGGGTGGGGGGGGGGGGGAGTCGGCCCAGCAGGGAACTTGTTGCCCCGCTGCTGCGCTGCTGCTGCCTGCCTCGTTGCTTTCACTTCCCACTGGGTTGAGACAATAGCACAAGGTCTGGCGCCCTCTCTCTCAAAGCAGCTTCCCTGCCTCAGAGGTACTGGGAGCATGCACTGCTGCTTCTGAAGGCAGCTCTGCTACCAACTGTGAGGTGGTCTCCGTGGGGGAAACTGCAGAGGCTCCTTTTTCTCTCTGGGAAATGAACAGTTCTGCCTCTTATTGATCCTCCCCCTCCCTCCCCCACCAGCAATTATTGCCTCCTCTTGCCGAAAAATTCTGGCTACATTTCTGAATGCAAGAATCTACCCTTGGCCTTGTACTTTGTATTATTCATTTTAAAGAGGAAGGCAGGCAACAAAGAAGTTAGTATAGTCAAGGCTGACTGTCAGTCTGATTGCTGGAAAAAAACTTCACCATCTCCATATATGACAATTAGTCAAACGCCCTACATGAAAGCACTACCAAAACTATTAAAAAGTAAATCAGACCTTATCCTTCACTCATCCAAATGAGGCTGGAAATAAGGCAGGAGATACAAAACAAGAATAAAAAATCTAAGGATTACTGGTAATAATCAGTTCCTTTCCATTCCATATCCTCCTCAATCTGGACAAGAGCCCTTTTTTTGTGTCCCACATTTTGCAGAATGGCCTGCCTGAGGAGATCAGAAGGGTACCATTTATGACTATTTTTAAAAAAATAGATATAAAAACAGCCCCCCCCCCCCCGAATGAATGTCTATGAAGTGGGGCTGTAATCTGTGGCGAGGTCTATTACTCAGTTGTGTTGGACCTGGTTCGCCAGAATTTTTATTGTTGACTGTTTATCTCTAATGCTGACAATTTTAACATTGTTATTAATGTGTGCTGGCACATCTTTTGCAAGCTCTTTTGGGCCACTCAGGGGACAGGCAGGATATAAATATTTTAAAACACAATAAATAAATAGATCACAAAACATTTTTCTCCAATCTCTCTAGATGTCTACATCATCTGTCCTCCCACGTACCACTTCCATAACATGAGCGCTCCACTGAGACAAAAGCTGTAGGCCTTGGAGAGAAAGATCAAAGAGTTTTCGATATTCTGCATCTGTTTTTTGAGCTTCCTGGCGGCCTGATCCTGTCACCACCTGGAATGAAAACATGGCTGTTAAAACACATAATACTTTAAAATAAAACCCTAAGTATTTGTTCCACCCTGTAAGCAACTAGCTTTTTCAGCTTCAAAAAGAATGCCAAAGAGTGAGGAAGCCAAATTTCCACACTGCCACCGTGGAGGTGGATGCAGGTTTCCCATAAAGCAATTTCTGGCTAATCCAGCAGTGTCTATTTGTAGTCTTAGCTAGAGATTACATAATTTTACCTTATACCTCCTTGGCAATGTTTGCATGGGAAGGAACTGTATCATTTGCCCTGCCTACCAGGTTCCTTCAGAACAGCATTACATGGAAGCATACTGCTATGGTCATATACTGAGTGAATTTTCATTTATGATAAATAAGCATCTAAATATGTTTTTCTATTTTTCCAAGTAATACTGGTTGTTTTGCTAGATATTCACTGAAGCCCTACTCCTTTTAGGGGTAGGGAGGAAAAGAAAGGACTGATGTTTATTTAGAGATAATAGAAATACACTCAGTATATGTACAGAAGTACTCTTCTTATTTTACACATTCCAGAGCTCAGCCTTACATGAAAAACAGAGTTGGATATGAGTGATCAAATTAAGCTTGAATTAGAACATATGATGTTGCCTCTTGCCTTTCTAGTCTAATTATTCAGACAAATAAACTTCAGCCTAGATCAAAAAGAATCAGCCTGTCATTAAAAATGTCCTATCTAAAAAGCAGGATTTGTTAAAAGGCTGAATAAGAAGCAGTTCGTTGCACCACTCAAGATGTGAACATTCTGCTGATACCACATCAGCGTTAACAATTTCTCCAACCAGGCAGCCCAAGAAACGGCGGCACATTTCCAGTTCCTCTTTCCAATGTAAGAGTTTGTCCGCTCATAAAGCCTGCCAGCACCCAAAGAGGAAGCACACCGCTTCAGCTCACACCTCACTGTTGCTGTAACGAGCCAGTTCTGAAATAAAGCGCATGTGATCTTCTCTGATCTGGATCATCTGTTCACAGATGTTGTACTGGGGACTACTGCTGGAAGATGTGCATGTCCATCTACAACAACAAGAGAGGGGAGGAAAAAAGTGTGACATCTTTCTTTTGTGCAAAAACTACCATTCGCGGCAATAAGCTCCCTCCCAACTCCTCAAATCTCCACACCTTTTGACCGGACAGCAGGTGCACATCGCTCATAGCAAACTACTCTCTCCCAGACACCCGTTAAGCCCCAGATTTCTAGAAGGCAGCAAATGAGACTGCATAGGTGCTGATGTCCCTCTCTTCTTTCTCTTATAACGTTTCCTAGACTACAAGGTTATGGTCCAACACACGGTCTGGAGGTATCTTGCTTCAAGTGTATGAAAGCTAAGGACTGACCATAAACCAGGATGGCAGGTAACAAGATGACCCATGTAAGAGCAGGGTGCAAATATAAACAGTATTTTAGAGGCTGAAGTAGTGAAGGATGACGAGACATCTTATTGCAACTTTCCTGTCTTCATAAGGAGCAACCAGTGAAGTAAAGTGGGCAATTGACAACACGATGATGCGATGCCCATGTCTGAATTTACTAGACTTCACCAGGGCAGAAAAGAGGAAGGGATACGAGGGTGATGCTTCCAGCAGCAGGTGCATGAATCCTTATTATGTCTCGTTTCAGCTTAAGTTCCTTAATTTTCAGTCCTTATTGCTAGGTGCGAATCATGTAGCCTTGCAGAAAGTACGAAAACACCAAAGACTGCACAAAAAAACTATGAATGTATGAAGGTTTTGTTAGATTACACGAAGCCTGTGAATTCTACCTTTATCTATAAGGCCTAAACTTCTACCTTTATCTATAAAGCCTAAACTTCTACCTTTTTCTATAGGTAGAACTGTATCGAGTTCTGTCTCTCTGTTTCAGAGAAAATGCTGTTTCATGATGACCTTTTATGTTGCCAAAAATCAACAGCTGGAAGTAGCTGGACAGGATATGTCCAGGATCCAGGAACTTCGGGCAAGACTCTGAAATATAAACTTAGTAATTAACTATTGATGGTCACAATATTGTCCATGATACTCATTGCCAAATACGTGAAAAACAAGAATCGTTGCCAGAGGTTTCTCGCAATATCGAAAGAAAGTCTGAATACAGAGAATGCCTTTTTAAAGATTTAAAATGTGTATTCACGAAACTATGACATATTTACACATGATACCTATAGACAGATATGAAAGGAAATTGTGTTGTAGCATGCAGGCACACTCAGATTTACTGTGGATGTATTGGAAATACCACAGAAGCTGCAGTCAATCGACCAGGCTGCAATGAATCTGCACTGATTTTATATAGCAAACATATTAAATATAATTTATATTAAGGATATTTTATCGGTAACAGGAACTAGTCGGAACTAGAAATACTGGTCTATGCTTGCAGTTTAGCAAACTCTAGGCTATAAGGACTAAGGACAAGTCCCTAGTGTGTGAAAGGACAGAAGACCATTAGCCTAGAGACCACCCCATCTATTGTGCCCCTTATAGTATAGGCTAGGCCATGGTAGATAGCTGGGGAGCAAGGTAGAGGCTAATGTGGACTCAAAATGGATGCCTGGATCCAAAATGGATGTCAGGAGACAATTTTAAGGAAGGCCAAGCTTAGGAAAAATTCCCAGAATAAGTCACAAGAACAACTAAATCAAGGTCAAGGAGTCCTTGGCAAATGTCATTGGCGTAAATGTCATTGGCAAGGGAATTTAAAGATTTAAAATGTGGAAAGTCCGGTCATTGGCAAGAGAAAGTCCAAAACAGGATATGTGTGGAGATCTTACGCAAATTTCAATTATTGATGAACTTTTCTTGCCAAAGATGATGTCTTATCAGGTTGGTAGAAGTCCAAGAGGCTTGGAAAGATTCTGATGGGTCAAAAGAAGTGGGCAGATACACCGAAAAGTATATTAAAAAGTAGAGGAAAAGCTCAGTGGAGGCCAGGTTGAGAGAACTGCACCTGCACTTTCTCTGCCTCACTTCTTATCTTACAGGTACGCCTGGGAAGGCTGTGTTAAGGTGAGACCTTCTCCTACCAAGTTTCATACTGAGATTGGTGTGATACACTGCTGCTATGCTGCTATATTATTTTGTTATATTTGCTTCTGGCTGTTTTAAATAAAGTAATGGTCAGTTTTAAGTAAGATGTAGAATATAGTTATATGTTCAATGCATTTCTTCATGTTGAGGGATGGGTTTGAGAATTCTGGATGTGATTAAAAAGAGAGAATCTTAGCTAGAGATCATGTATTAATAAATAGTCATAAAATTATGGCGTCTACTCTCCTCTTTTCCCTGGAAGTGTTTTTCTCAGAGTAAAATTCTAAAGATCCCCTTTTACAGGCAAAATGCTTAACCTGGATAAAACACAGGTTAACAGACTGAAAAAACACTAAACCAGAAGTGAGAGATTCTGTTCCCACCTGTTCTACAACATGCAGCGTTTTCCAGATAATGTGCAATGTCACAGTTTTACAAACAAATAGAAAGAAATAAGATCATATCTTTGTCCCTAATGCAGAACATAAACACCTGTCACTACAGACATCAGGACTTCCCATCTTGAACAAAATACTAGGTTTCCCAAAAACCTGTTACATGTTTAAGAGAGGAGGGGGAGTAGCTTTAAGACTTACAATCCTCCTAAGCACATTTAGTAGAAAGCACGTCCCATGAAGCTCAGTGGTACTTAATGCTAGGTGAACATAGGGCTGCAAAAAGTCAGACCAGAAGGCAGCTTTTCTAAATGGAGTTCCTGGCACCAAAATATGCATATCTACACCTAGGTCCCATTTAGTCAGTGCAGCACACAACCAGCTGCCAAGATCTATGGTAAAAGGGTTACAAAGCATTCACACACCTCCACACCCCCTAAATTAATTTTCTTTGTTTAAACAATCTACAAAAAGGATGAAGGACTATTCCCCTGCCCTTGCCAAAACAAACTGGGCTTTTTGCTTCTCATTCTTACCGGGATTTGTTCTCTTCATAGTGGGCACTAGTCTTAATGTATCTTGCCAGTTCAATCTGCATGTCACCAAACAAGGGAACTACCTGCAGCTGCTGTACTCAAGAAAGAAAACAAATATATCAGTATCTTAGTATTCACAAATTTTGACACACACACACCCCCCGCATAAAGGTGAAGTAGAGTCTCTCAGGAATTTAACACACATACCCTCTCATTTTAAGGTAAAGGTAAAGGTAAAGGTTCCCTTGCTCGAAAGCCAGTTGAATCCGACTCTAGGGTTGCGGTGCTCATCTCCGTTTCAAAGCCGAAGAGCCATCGCTGTCTGAAGACGTTTCCGTGGTCAGGTGGCCGGCATGACTAAACACCAAGGCACACGGAACGCTGTTACCTTCCCACTGAAGTGGTACCTATTTATCTACTTGCAATTTCTTGCTTTCGAACTGCTAGGTTGGCAGGAGCTGGAACTAGAGATGGGAGCTCACTCCGTCATGCGGCACCCGGGTCTCGAACTGCTGAACTACTGACCTTCCACAGCCTGCAGTTCAGCGTCTTAACCACCTGAGCCACCACAGCTCTCATTTTAAACCAACCTTAAAAAACTTGTCGATCTTGGTCAGATTTATCCTTTTCTTGGCATCCAGCTTATAAATGTTACTGACACTGCCATCCATCAGGTATAAGCCGAAGCCCATTACCTGGAAAAGGGAAAAAAATCACACATTTCGAGTCAATCTAGGGGTTAAGTGATGAGCATTAAAAGTGTTTAGTTCGCAGACAAGACAAACTCCTGCCAGCAGCTCAAATCCATAAAGATTCAAAACAGTCAGAAAATAATGACATAAATAGGATTTATGTTTAATTCATGATTGCTTCTGTCAGGAGGGGCCGCCTCCCGACCCCCTCCTGCCTTTCGATTGCCCGGCAGACTGTGGAAAGGAGGCGCAGAGCTCGGGCTACAAAACTGAATTTGAGAGGAACGAGGTGGGCGAGGATCCTCTCGGCCCCACGAAGAAGTCCATTCTGGAGTACCCACGCTCCGACGCCAAAATGCGGAAGGGTCCTTGCGAGGGTTCCCTGAGGGGCCTAGGATCCTCCTGCGTCACCCAGACAGGGGCAGCCCTACTGCTAAAGGAGGGCATGGGGGAGGGCATGGGGGAGGGGGAGCCTGCTTACCCCCCCCCCGACGAGGGCCTGACTGGGAAGAAGAGGGGTGGGGGAAGTGTGCCTGGAGTCTCTCAGGGGTCGGCCTTAGCCCCGTTTGCTTTAAGACCTGGGAGGCGGAGGGAGGATAAAGGAGGCGAAGATGCTTGCCAATGAGGACACACCTGGTATCTATGCAGTGGGATGTGAGGAGGGAGTTGCAGGTTCTTTACACCCAATCCACTCGTACACGCCCAGAATAGAGGCAAGCGCGCCGTGACCGTAGGAGTGAAGGAACTCCAGCGGGTGACGTTCTGAGGCAACGTCCAACCTGAAACCTTCTCCTCTCAAACCCTGGACCCACCCCGACCCATCCAGACCCCAGGGAGACACTGACAGCTTCATTCTATTGCATTCTGTCTGACTATATACAATGTACATAGATTGTATTAAGCCTATGTTGGCAGTATCTGATGCATGTTAAGTACACCGATTAATCCCAAGTCTGAAATTTTGTTTTAAAAACCAATTTTAAGTCAAGAGACCACCCCCCACACACAATCCCAAAGCTTCCAGGTCAGCCCACCTAGCGCCCAACCATTTTTTCCCATCCCGTGTTTCAAATCAATCCACACAAAATCATACTACTATGCGCCATCACACAAAAGTACCTGAAGAGCAAACAGTTAAAGGAGCCCAAGTCCACATGGTGCATAATACTTAAAAAAGATATTAGCGGTTCCAACCAGAACAGGAGAACATTTCTTACTGATCCATTATGCAGCAACACTTTGTTCTCAGCAAAACCCCAGAGGACACCAAATTTCCAAGAGAAATTTGTGGACGTGCTTCTTAATGAGTCTGTAGATACATACATCTACATTTTCCTCAAAGTGACCCTTTCAGAAGTTCTGCTTATACAGATTTCCCAAGGCACTCTTTAAACTCACAAAATCCTATAGAACATTGCCAATTTTAAGGAAGGAAAAGAATAATATACAAACATTGCCAGAAAGTATTTTATCGAGTCTTAAACAGGTTTTTCCAACTCAAGTGGTAGGGGTTTTAAACATAAGCATGGGTTGTTTCATGGATATCTTCTGAAACACTTCAAAAATATATATGCATGTGCTCCATGGCTAATGGAAGGGTGAACTTCCTGCCCACAATAAGCAAAATTGAAGAACCCAAAGAGAAAATGACCATAGCCTCCCTGATATTGCTATGTTTTAAATACATGCAATCAACGGTGGGGGGAAGGCCTTTAAAATTCTATTTTAAAATAACTATTTAAAAAAAATAGTTACAGTATCATATTTGGAAGTTTAGAAATAGGTGAATCACAAAATTACTCCTCAAATATTAACCAACCCTTTACATTCCCAATACTGAATATCACAGTTAGGATTACAAAAGTGACAATCAGGATTTTCTAAACTGGATGGAGGGACCATAGCCTAATGGGAAAGCATCCACTATTCAAGCAGAAGGCCCCCAAGTTCAATTAGTTTGTAGGTGATGTGAAAGACTTCCACCTGAGACCCTGAAGGATCTCTGCTAGTCTGAGTAGAAAATACTGAGCTTGATGGAGCATTGGTCTGATTCAGTACAAGATAGCTTCATATGTAAATATTACACAAGATGCTAAAACATCCTCAAATATGCTCATGAACAGAAGTGGCAGAAAGTGGGATCGCTTTCCCATCCTCTCTTTTCCCAGCCACCCCAAGTCCACAAAAATCCTGATGGAGGAGCTTCTGTGACCCAAATGCACAAAAAGCCACACGGTTTGGGGTGGGGGTTGCTTTAGTGAAGGTGAGCCAGTGAAATCATCCACTTCCACTAGTCGTTTCTGATGACAAAAGAAACTCTGTTGCTTGAAGAGCAAGGTAGGGGCGATTTCACGGGTCCCCCTTCCCACGGCATCCCTGTGATCCAGGCAGCTTTTTTGTCCGTGTTGAACCTGCAACCACCAGCATCAGCTTTTGGAGCTTCTGGGAAGGTATTGGAAAGAGGTGGAGGCAATAAAGATCCATCTCAACAAGAATTTTGCACTTGTACCAAAGATCTAACCCAGCACGTTCAAGGATTGTCTGGAGCAACAAACACTTTTACTTCCTAAAATACAGAGATGTAGGTATTTAAGGGGTAAATGTCCAACATTCTTAAAGTAATGAGCTCTGATTTGATAGCTGTTAAATTCGCTTCCTTGTACAGTCTGCAATTTTCATTTGAGGGTAGATTTAAAGCTAAAAATTGTCTTTGCACAAATACGTGACTCTTTTCAAAACACTTTTTTAAAAAAAATAAAGCCATTTTTTTAATTACTATATTCATTTATCTAACAGTCAAAGTAATGAATGGGTTCTGAACAATTTGGTGCCACAAAGCATTGTACCTGGTAGACTTGCTTCTGCATACCTTTTACTGACTATGACAAAGTGACACAAAATTGCTGTAATTACATTGTGGCTTTTCTTCCCCTTCCCCTAGATAAAAATGATCTGCAAAAGCGTACCCCACTCACCAACAAAAGGGAGGCTGTAATTCCTTCTAGAAGCATTCTAAATGTTCTGAGATGTTTGGCAAAGAAAGTTTAGCATTTCAGGAATATATACACTGTTTTGCCAGCAGGGTTCCCCCCCCCCCCCTCCAAATTGGGGGGGGATGTGGGAGTGTTTGCAAGGAACAAATCTTACTTTTAAGAGCATGTGCTTCTCGCTAGGTGTTAGGTACATTTTGTTTTCATAATAATCTACGCACAAATTCACAATATCTGCAAGCAGTTCTTCATATCCAGGAATCACCTCAAGTTGTTGCTGTAAAGACTAAAACAGAAATAGGTTAAATAGTATATAAAGTTTCGAGAAATAGCAATACATTTAATTCTCAACAAGGCCCCACCTGCAGATACTTAAATCCATAGATCAGAGCCATGCAGAGAGAAGGGACATTCTTATACAAAGTTGGGGGACACCCCAAGGTTGCATTAATATATGAATAGGGTTTTTTTTAAAATGCAGGAAGGGTTTAACACCTGCCCTCAACAGAGGACAATGCATGTGGGAGATAAGAGGTGGAGTTCCTGAGCAAGATACACAGGGGCAGCAATGACACTGCAGGCAAAAAAGAGGAGAGAACCACACCCTCACCACTCCCTGCAGGCAGAGTCAGAGTGGGTTTACACAGAGACAGAGTGTGGACAAGAGTGGGCAGTGTGAAATTTCCATCCTCTACAGGTTCCTCGTCCCCCCCCACACACACACACTGTCGGGGAAGGAGGAGCAGGAACTGAGCCAGGCCAGTGGAGGTGGTGGCACTGCTGGCTGGCAGATGGCCAAGTGAATGGGGGGGGGGGGAGATGGGACTCCCCCTCAAAGGTCTCTCAAGTCCCTGCTTGTTTCATATAGTACTGAAATGATGTTTAGCATCTTTGTGTCTTTGTTATTCTATTGTACATAAATGCTAGGCACTGAACAAAACAGATAATGTCTCAACAATTCATAAAAAGTACAAGATATAAATAGTAATTTGGTACATAAGAACATACTTGCGTGATCTTGTTGTGATTAGCAAGGAACATGGAGAGGTTCTGGGATTCTTGGATAGACTGAGGATCAGCCATTTTACGCAGAAACTGGGCAGCTCTTTAAAGAAAATAGGGGTGAAATTAAGTTCTGTAAGAACAATGATCAATATCTCCTATATACCTGCTACTTTGCAACGATCCTTTCAAGAAGGTCTACATACTGTGATATTACATCTAAGACAGCTCTGTAAATTTGGGATAACTAATGTAGTTTATGAATCGTCATAATCACTATGGCAAAAGCCCATCCAGCACCATAAGTCTCACCTACAAGACTGGCCCTAACAAATCTCATGGCAACAAGGTGGGACCATTACTTCCAGGAAGCAGTTCCCAGGAGCAAATGCCTACCATATGGAGTAGATGTCTAGAAATCACACAGAATGCAACTTGGGGCGGGATGGGCATCAACAAACTGCTTCCCTTGCACCCAAGATAAATATAATGTAATTCTTTTACCATTTCTTTTTCTCAGCACTACAACCTCTCCTCCTTGAAACACCCAGTTGTGCCTACTGCCCTATATCAAAATTCCAAAGGTGCCCACTGGCTCAAAACAGTAGGGGTCCCCTTATCTCTCTCTTCTTTTATTAGAGTGAAGTCACATAGGAAAAAGGGCTTTAAAGAATACAGAGACTCAGCCAAATCCTTGCAAACAAGAGTGCAGAGAAACCTCCAAGACCTTGTGGCACCCCCACAAATGGGCACAGATCCAAAAAACCCATATGGTTGACTAATTCTGATACAGCGTTTTCTTCAAAGCATCTCTGTCTCCCAAAGCATCTTTGCAAAAGCCACTCAGGTGTGTATCAAAGGTATGTTGAATACAGACCTGATTCAGCTTGATCAGTAATTACTGACCGATATGCGTAAATGTGGAAACAACTAGCACCATCTTGTGGCCACAATGTCCTGTAATGCAGCTGTTTCATACATTAACAGACATTGTTTCACAAGAGTTACACAGGAAGACTTACAACGGAACAGTAAGCAGGGCTACTCAAGAATCTTACCCAAGCCCACTCAAAGAGGCTTACTCCCAGGAAAGCGTTCTTAACAGTTCCACTGTTAATGTGGAACTCTCTGTAAAGGGAACTTACATCAAATGTGGCTGTAAAAACAAATAACTTTTTAATGCTTTTAAATGTATAAATACACTAAAAGTCAGTTTGGAGGATGGCCATGGCTCTGTGGTAGAACGTACAAGGTCCCAACTTCAATCTCTGGTACGCCCAAAGGTCATTTCGCGGGGGATCGCGGGGGATCGCAGTTCCCCCGGGTGAGGTACGGGGGGTGGGGCACATGACGAAGCCCCGCCCCCTGCTTCCGGCCACCCCGCTTCCGGCCCTCATTCAGCCAGGAGGAGGCAGGAGAAGAGGGAGGGTAAGTTGCTTCCTCCCTGCCTCTCCCCACCCCTGCCTGCCCGGGGCCAGGGAGGGCCTTCGCGGGGTTTCCTTGCACTCCCGCTGGCCTTGCAGGTCCACTGCTGGGCCCCTCATGGGGCTGGGCAGTGGAGCTTCAACGCCGGCGCCGGGACCATTGGGGGCGGGGTGTGTGGCCTTATGACACACTTCCAGTGATGTCAGGGGGTTTGGCCTTATGACACACTTCCGGTGATGTCAGGGGGTGTGGCATATGCTAATGAGTTATGCTAATGAGTTCCCCTAGCTCTTTTTCTACGAAACGTCCAATTAAAAATAAGACCATGCAGTAGATTATGTGAAAGCCCTCTACCAAAGACCCTGGAGAGCTGCTACCAGTCAGAGTAGACAATTCAGATCTTGACAAACCTATGATCTGACTCAGAATAAAGCTCCATTAATTAACTTTACACTTTCCAACATTTAAGACTATGTGGAAAACTGTTTTATGGATACATGTAAATGCTAATGTGTTCAAACAGCAACTGCATTGCTCAAGACACATGTATGATAGAGGTATGCGTGCCAGGAAGCTGGAATTAATCACATTTACCTACCAGAAGGTTAACAGATGTTTGTCTTCACATGAAGTATGAAATACCCTAATTGAGAGAGCCAGTTTGGTGTAGTGGTTAAGTGTGCGGACTCTAACCTGGGAGAACCGGGTTTGAGTCCCCACTCCTCCACTTGCACCTGCTGATGTGACCTTGGGTCAGTCACAAGCTCTGGCACAGCTATCCTTAAAAAAGAGCAGTTTGTGTCAGAGTTCTCTCAGCCCCCCCACCTCACAGGGTGTCTGTTGTGGGGAGGGGGAGGGAAAGGAGTTTGTAAGTCGCTCTGAGACTCCAAGTGAAGGGCGGGGTATAAATCCAATCTCTTTTTCTTCTTGATTCAGTACATATGACGCTCATAAGCCACAGGTGATTCTACCAATCTACTGATCCCAATCTGTTATGAACTAGTTGGGAATTAATAGGATTGATGCAAGTATCAAACATCCCAAATATGATTATGACGAAAACCCCTGCATTAGTTTGTATGTTATTCTTTTGGTACCTCTTCCCACCTTCTGTTTTACCAATACAACACCACGAGATCAGCTGTGAGACCACATGATATCTCAATACACATCACTTTCCCCCTACAGCTCACCGTTTATAGGCTGAATGGTCATTCTTCACACTGCACTTCATGTTTTTCAGCTCGTCTAAAACAGCAAACATGTTGATGAATTTTCCAAGAGTGATCAGATAGGCCTCAGATACAAAATCCTTCCTCCTCTCTGCATGGCACAAGCGCTTCACTTCACCACAGAATCTTTCAATTGCATTTCTCTGTTTTTAAAAAAGTAAAGAAATACATGCTTCAGAAAAAATGTGCAGAGTGTAATTCAAAGTGCATATTTACTAAGCTATGTTTAACCCACCTGCAAATCAAAATATCTGTAACAGGAGGCTTCTGTAGGGCTAGGGTAAATGATTCTGCAAACTTGGAGGAACCCTCAGATTTGAATAAAAGGCTTTTTTTAAAGGGGAGGGGGCAAGGAGAAGGTACATAAAGTAGACGTATAAAAGCACTCAGATTCTGGTCACCATTCTGGGGTGTCTAAGCATTCCAGAACAACACTGCCAGAGCACCCGCCTCTCTTGGACATTGCAGGTGATATCTGATGCAGGAGGGAAGGAGGGGGCAGGAAGGAGAAGTACTGCAAGAAACAGGAGGGAAGAGAGCTGGCAGGGGTGAAGGAAAGGGAAAACAACATAGTCAATGTGAGAAGAAAAAAGAAAGCAGGGTGGGAGACAGAAAAAGAAGGGGACAAGAGTGGGGATCAGGTAACCAGACACAGCAAAGGAAGTGGGCAAACGGATGAAAAAACCAGATGAGAAACAGAGCAGACTGGAAGAAAGATCAGGTTAGCTACTGGGTGAGCAAGTGGGTAAGAGGCAAGCAGAGCTGTAGCAAGGTGAGAAATGCCCTTTAACTTCATAGCAAGAACTACTATCGATTTAAATAGATTTGTGCTGAATCCACTCATTGTACTGGTCTCATACAAGACTGAGAGCAAAACTGCCTATTAAACACACACACACACCATGGGCCAGGGATAAAGACTGCTAAATCAGGGGCAGTCATGGAAGGTAACGGGGAGAAAATAACAACCAAATAGCATCCAACATCCACCTACCTGAAAATACATAAAATTCATCAGCTTGGTGACCTCTGGTTCTAGAACTTCAACAGTTTTTTCATAAATTTCCACTCTGTTTGGCTGCTCATTACATTTTACCTAAAAAGAAAGGAGAAAGGTTTGACAAACTATACAGGAATATCTCGCACACCTTTCTTCACCAGCTATAAGACTCACATTAAAACATTACCAATTTCAAAATACTTGTACACATTTTAGAAGTTCAGCTTTGCCACAAAAACATAGTTCTTTTGTTTTCCAGAAACAGCTTTCAGGATCATTTGACTATGTAAAATATATTACCCTAATGGCGGTCCTAATGCTTCTGCATTATCTACATCAATACATTCTGAGAACAACCAGATCGAGCCCAATAAAATTTGCTGGAAATAAGTCAGTACATAGATTATGACTGTCCTTGCTGTCTGACCTATCACCATGTCTGAGGAAAGCCCCCGTCTTTCTTCGAATGCCAAGGCTATTTTAGGCTATTTCAGAGCAACTAGACAAGGATTGCAGATCTCATCCACTGCTACATTTTACATGTTACTGTTTGCAGGGTACCCGAGGTATGCAAACAGGCCTTTTAAAATCTTTTGATTTGCAAAGCTTTCTGTGAGATAGGGTATGCAGAGTTATTTGGTGTTTTTGCCACTGCTTGGCAGCAAAGGCTGTCCTCAAGGGTTACACACTTCCTGTTTTCACCTCTTTGTGGCTGACAGGAAGCAAAGGTGAGAAGAAAAGCAACAGGGCATGGGTAAAAAGCGAAAGATTCTAGAAGGCTGCTGCTACCATCAAAAGAATAAATCAGGTCCAAACTCAAATCAGGGAACCCTGGAGCAGCCCTCTCAAACCACGACAGACTTGTGATGGTCCTCTGTAGAGACAGGAGGGATGCAGTTTCAGCTTGGTGCTGCCTCACTATATGAAGGGATCCTTCCCATCTGCCAGCTTCCTACAGCTGACAATTCCCACATGCTGTTTTAACAATATTTTCCCTTAAGTTCAACACATGGTTCATAGATTACATTTCCAGTTCCAGCATTTTAAACACAGTGGATGTTGCAATGATTTCCTGCAATGATTTCCTGACAATAAAGGCATTATACCATAGGTCACTGTTGGCATCTTTGTAGCCCACTGAATTAGGCTCATTAATTAAAAAAAGATATTAAGACATGCGACCCGTGGGGGGGGGGTGTTTGGAGTTCCTTCTAAAAGTGGTTCACGGTGTCTAATAGCTGTGGAACCACCAAAGCATAAGAGGTCACCTATGGAACAGTAAGAAAATGGTCATTCTTAAACTTGATTTTGCTGTTGTACCTGAGGAATGGCTCTTGAGCAGCTCCTCCATGTGTAGAGCATAATGGCATACTCTTGGCCTTCTTCCAACATTTCATTCTAAAATAAAAAAACAAAAACTGGTATTTACACAAAAAGGACAGAGTAACCGATCAAAACAAAGATATTAATTATGTAGCATGCCATATTTCAGAGAAGATGCAACTGAAAGCTTTGTCAGAACAGTGACTGAAATTATTTTAATAAAATCCCAAAGCTAAATACATTTACTAGGAAGCTAGCCTAATTTTTCCATGCAAGTACACGTCTTTGTTTTTAAGGATAATCGTGACTCGTTCAAGAACTACTGAAAAAAAAATACACCTCAGAACTATTAAACAAAGAGAAAAAAGCAGATATTCTTGGAATGTCAAATCGGTATTAGAACTAAGAGATGCAAAGAATCACAGAACCATCGTAGTTCTGGGCTTAAGAATTTTTCCAAGCAGCAAACAGTGGCCCTTCACGTTCCTTTTTCAGAGAGGAAACAAAGTATAAGCAGTGAATTTTTTTAGCCTAGTGTATGTAAGACAGAATCAGTTAAGGATAGACATTTCCCATGAAATACAGTGATTGAATAAGAGCAGCTGCATCGCTTTGGAACACCATTTCTCAAATGCTGAATTTGCCTTAGCACACACACAGCACACAAATCATTCTACATATTAGATCATGAAACCTAGATGTTTGGCCTATTATCAGTTCCTACAGATTGATTTTTAAGTCCTTGGACTAAAGAAATACAGTGCAACAACAGGCAGCAGCCGTAATGTTTTCTAATTATAACATGGAAATGAACTATTTCATTTCAGAGCTACATCTATGAAACATGTAAAATCTTAAGCAGAAAAGTATTCCAGGGTACATCCATAAGCATGTACAGCAAACTGATTAATCCTTAACAAATCATGTTTATAAAAAAAAGAACAGGCTTGAAATAAAAACATCAACATGGTTTTCTTATTCTCTTTTACTATAATAAGTATTGTTAGATGGCTATTGTTCAATATTTACCATGCTGGAATGAACAGTTGCTTGTTCAATGTATCTTGCAATGCCTGTGACAAATGCATTCCTGTCTTCAAAATTGGTGTTGAAATTGGGCTGTATGAAAGATAAGAAAATGTCCCAAAATTATGAATAGTACTGAAGAACAATTATTCAAGTGGTAGTAATTCAGAGCATTTTAAAGTAACAGACAAGGCAACAGAAACTTCTTTTATGCATTTCATACCTGATAAAGCAAGGATGATGGAGGGGGTTCAATACATGGTTGTTGGTCTGGTAGTGGTAATTCTTCCAAGAGATCCACATTGGACAAGGCATCTTCCAGGGTAACTTGAGCAGTCATCTTGATTCTGTAAAAAGATAACATTTTAAAACTGGTAACATTCATGACAAGTGGAGTTAACTATTGCATGTTCCACAGTAGGTCTCAGAAGCCAAACAGGGTTGGCCCTGGTTAGTATTTGGATGCGAAACCGCCAAAGAAGTCAAGGGTTGCGATGCAAAGGCATGCAATAGCAAACCACCGAACATCTCTTGCCTTGAAAACTCCATGAGGGGTTTCTGTAAGTTGTTGTACCTGATGGACTTGACGGAATTTTTTTAAATTGTGTCATATTTGACACAAACATGAACCAAATGTTTTTATCTGATGATATGGTTTTGCCAATCTCACTAAGATAAATTAATGAGGTATTGAAATGTGTGATTTACCACATTCTTCAGAAATTTACCTCATATTTACCACTCAGAAACAGAAGAAACATTCAGCATACAAAACAGACAATTGGTGCCTATTACATCTAAAGTGATGGTGAGAGTCCGTACCCGGATAGCCCAGACAAGCCCGATCTCATCAGATCTCAGAAGCTAAGCAAGGTTGACTGCGGTTAGTATGTGGAAGCGAAACTTCCTTGGAATATCAAGTCAGGAGGATACAGGCAGGCTCAGCCACCTCTCTGAATATCTTCCAGGCCCCCAGTAGGGGTCAGTCACCAGAGATCAATGTGACTTCCAGGTTGCAGACACACACACACACAGAAAATACCCCCCAAAAAGTGGTTGTGAGACCCTCATCTTGTACAACCTGCATTACCTAGGGAAAAATGTTACCATAGCCCCAGCATCTAATTTCTTGGGGTTTGAAAGGCCTGTCTGCAAGGGCATAAATATGAGATGAGATAGGACTGTTGTAGTCCTCTAGTAAAGGTAAAGGTTCCCTTGCTCGAAAGCCAGTCGAATCCGACTCTAGGGTTGCGGCGCTCATCTCCGTTTCAAAGCCGAAGAGCCAGCGCTGTCCGAAGACGTTTCCATGGTCATGCGGCCAGCATGACTAAACACCAAGGCTCACGGAACTTGGTGAAGTCCTCTACACCAAGGTAAAAACACTCCCCCAACATGTCTCATGCTGAGTCTTGGAACAGCAGAGGGGTTCACAAACTAAACTCTGGCTGCGGTCACACGCAACATTAGCCACGCAAGAGATACGGAAGACAAGCGGAGTTTCCGGTCGCGATCTCACCAGCACATCTGGGAAGCGTAGCGCTTCCGTGGCACAACTGAGGCTTCCTGCCGAAAAAGCGCAGCAAAAAACTAGTACCTTGGAGGTACTAGTTTCCAGAAACTGTGGGGCAAGGGCGGGCGTCTGATCGCGTTTCCGGTGGTATCCGGCGCCCGCCCATGTCCCCTTGCGGAAAAGGGTTTTTTTCCCCCCACATCTCCGTGGATGCGCACACGCACCCAACGGAGCATGCGCATTCGTAGTGTACACAAAAAAAGAAAACTAGTTCGCCGCGCCGCGCGCTTCTTCATTGCGCGCAGGCGTGTGTTGTGATCGGCACCTCTCCCTTGCCATGGAACCTCCACAGTACCTCCACAGAACCTCCACAGTAGGTCTGATCGCTTTACTGCATGTTAGTTTGCCCCGGGGCAAACAGCCACACTTCTCCTCTGCAGTTTCCTGCCCGTGTGGCAGGGGCCATTGATGAACACTGACTAAACTTAAAATCCTGCACAGTTCCAATGTCTCCTTGCACAGCTGGGCATATCCCCAGGACTGCATTGTACAGCCTCAGCCACATCTTTTCACCACTCTTACTCTACAGTGTGCAATTTTCTTAGATATGCTCTTCAAATCTGTCATTTTGAACATGCAAGAACAATTCCACTGTGCATCTTGCAGCCCGCCTAAAACAGCATAAATGCACTCATTCAGAAACAGTGACTCAGCTTCAAATGGTTTGCCTGAACACATGCCTACATATTCAAAGAAAAACAAAGGAACCTACTCAGAAAAACAACACCTGTTACCAGTGTCAACCACCAAGGTCACCTACGCAAACCGGGAATGTGTGCAAACAAATTTAGAAATTGAAATTAATATAGTACACCTATTTACTTTCGTTCATTGACAAGATAAGACTAAAGATGGTCAACGGTCAACATATTACTTTGGCTAGGCCCATATACAAACCTTTAGTGAATTTAATACTGATACAAGCAGCAGATACATTAAGCAACCGGGCAAGCAAACTGATGCCTTTAGTTTAACTTTCCAGTTTGGGCACTTTCCAGTTTTTAGTCTGTTTGTAACATGTTGTCTCAGCTGAATACTGGAATAAAGTTTAAAAGGCATGTTCAAGATACTGCTCTGCTTTTTCACTGCACCCATGAAAACGCAAAGTATGTTGTAATGTAGTAGCTGCCTTGCAGACTAGCTGGATGGAAGTTTGTTTAACACTCAAAACACAATTCTGTGTTTCAGGCTTGAAACCAGCTAAACTACCAACCACCACCACCACCGCTAGTAAAAGCATGCAGACCATGCTACATCTCTAGAAGACTAAAATGCCACAATGAAACTTGGTGGGTGAGTTCTGAGAGTTCAGACGTGCCGTTTGATCTGGTGTCGTGACAGTTCAGCAACAGATTTTATACGCACGATCACGCAGTCAACATCTGCCTCCCGTCCCCAGCCATTGGTTTCCAGCTCAAAACCACTTTAACCCGGAGTATTTTGTTACCAGGTCCCAAAGTGGTGTTTTCTCAGCTCTCCCGTTTAAAGCTGCATTTCCCCCCTGTGTGATTGCTCCTCCGGTGTCAAGCCACTTCCAGTTTAAACCCCCTCCCCGCTCAAAAGCTGCCCGAGGCTTCCACTTTTCAACCGCCATTTTTTTTTTGCATCAGCGGTGCGCGCATAGGTGAAGCTCTGCTACCATATTTAGAAAACCGACATTTAAACGGTCACTTGTTTTAGTGTTTAGATGAGTTTGGGATCTCACGGAGGCCATTTTTGGGTCAAACGTTTAAAGGGAAGTCTTTTGTTGGAGGGGTTGGATTGATTCGTCCTGGTGGTTCTGTGCATGCACCATGGTAGTTCCCCCCCCCCCATTCTACAGATGAGTGCCTATGCGCGTGAACAAACTGAGAATTTTTTTTTTAAAACCTGCCTACACACACTCCCGCATGTTGGTAGTGTATATGCTGGGGAGTGACGTGACTGCGCGGTGAGGCAGGATAAGGGAGGTAAGTGTGATCGCGATTACCCAGATCAAATATAATCCGGTCAGAACCGGAGCAGTTTAACCCGCTCTCAGCACGCTGTCTGAACGCACCCGGTATGTTGCATATTATTTTGCTTATTTCGATTTATATCCTACTTTTCTCCCTTACTGGGACCCAAAGATCCATTCTGCAAACAGAGGTCTGATATGCTAGCTTTTACTTTAATACTACCATAATTTTCACTTCAATGGGAACCAATCTATTTAAATTCAAATAGTATCAATTGGCTTTTTGGGCGCCAAGTCCAATCAAAGCTCTCAGAGATAGTGGCTTTTCAACGCAAGACACACTTGTAACTATGAATTTCAACCTTAGTTCCCTTTCTACAAAAAAAAACCCCTATTCCTTTTTTAGCACTAAAGATCAGCATACTTAAAACATCAGCATGTTTCTTATGTTTCCTTTTTTTAAAAGCACTAAGTGAACAAGAAACATTGACTGGAAGAGAAGCAAGAAAAAGAACCCATTTGCACAAATATAGCATTTTTTTAAAAAAAGCAGATTACCTCTCAGCCAGATCTACTCTGCACTGCATGCCTGTTCAGTACTGTTAACCAGAGTGCAAGAGGGCTTCTCTTAGATTATATTGTGACTTCTTTACTGAGGAGAGCCAGTATTGTGTAGTGGTTAGAGTACTGCTGGATTAGAATCTGGGAGACCCAGGTTCAAATCTCCACTTGTGCCATGGAACCTTGCTGGGTGACCCTGGATCAGTCACACACACTCAGCCTAACCTACCTCACAGGGTTGTTGTGAAGATAAAATGGAGAAGAGAATGATGTAAGCCACTTTGGGTCCCCGTTGGGAAGAAAGGAGAGTATATAATAAGCAAATCATCTTGAAAGCTATGTCGGTTCTAAATTTTACACTGCCCTCAACAAACATTTACTACTAGCCCATTTAATTAAAGGCAAACTCTTACTGGCTGAACTGGCACACAAAATACCACAAAAGTTTCATTTGTACCATGTAGCAGTACTAATCATACTTCTCAGAGCCAGGCAGCTGGCTATTAAAGGAGAAATTATTTTGTCCCAGGCTTCATTTATTTCTAGTTGTCATGAACAATAGTTCTAAAAATATAAGATAAGCAGTTATTTACGCACTACTATCAAAATTCAGGTATGTGTTTTTCTCAAGATCTTAGGCCTCAAATATAAGTTAAAATGTGTGAATCCACCACAGGGATACACGGCCATACTGCAGCTGTGAGTTCCTGGTGGGAACCTCATTTAGAAGTGCTGCGGGGCCCCTAATTCAGATCAGGACTGTGGTGTAGGAAGAGGGTCTCCTCCCTTCCTCCATGCACTATTCCCCTGAACTGAAATGGCACCATCAGATTCTCATTTTGAGAAAACAGTGGGGGAGACGCAGGAGCCTCTTCTCCCCCCATGCTGCAGTCCTAGTCTGAATCGGGCTGTTGTGGTGCTTTTAAATGAAGTTCTCATCAGGAACTCACCGCTGACATATGGCTGCAAGTTCCCATGATGGCCTTGCATATGTTGTAATGTGTAGTTTGATTCTTATTTCCAAATGTTCAGAATGTCCAAAGTCTTCCTATTGGAAAGTTTTCCACAGCAATTCCCAAGTTATAGTCTTGTTGTGCTAGGAAAACTCAGCCTTTCCAGAAATATTATACCCGCCCTTATCCAGTCCCTCTCTTCAGTGCTAAACTCTCAGCTATATCACTTTTATATGGTGGAAGAAAATTTTACCTAAGGACAGTCCCATCTTCACAACTATAAACACAAAAATCAGTGGATTGCCTCTACCATGATTTAACATAAAA